TAATTTTTTTTTAGGTTAGTGATCATATTTTTTCGGAGGTTGACGGTGAAATATTATTTAGGCTTTCTGTGACCATGAGAGATGGATTTAACACATGCCACGACGTTATAAGCCATCACATGCAACTATCCGGTGCACATTAGGCCACTGTGATATACAGCCGGCATCTTGTGCAAAATTTCCTAGTTTATTTCACCTAAACTAGCTATAGTTGTTTTGGTCAGAGACTTCGATTCTTTTCTTTTGATAGGTTGAGGAGCATGGGACTAAAAGCTCGAGAGGTTGACAAAGTACCAACCCAGTCACAAGTTGGCAAAGGAACAATACATGATAGACATTCATACATGTAGAATAAAAAATAAACTTCACAAGTATCAAATGACACCAAGTATGAATACAAAAGGTATGAAACAAAGCTCCACAAATAGATAGCAAGTGAATACTTATGTATCATGAGGGCATGAACATGAAAAGCAAAAATCAATAAGTAGAGCGGCCAAAATTCCGGGAGACGTGCTATTCGGGAAAGTGAATGAGCTGGGCGAAGCATCTAATGTGACGATTTTGATTATTTAAAATTACATATATCTACACTGCTTTAGTTGTGTATTAATCATAAGGAATTAATTACATATAGTATTATAATGAAGTGTCATAAATCATCAGGATCAAAAGTATACACTGGTACACATAAACATCACAGTAAAAGATTCAATACAGTAATAAGAATTGCAGAAAGAATGCGCAAGACAGCCAGTTGTAGTGACGTTTCTTGCAACATTTAAATAGATTAATAAGGAGTTCTCAATGGCAGAAAAAAAGATGAAGTGTCAGAATCTTCGTGGTTTAAGGTGGTCAATAGATAAGGTAGCCTGTAGGACAATGTTCATCCTAAACGCTTCTAGGAATAGGTAAAATCCAAGTTTAATTATTCGTGCCTAGTGAGACAAACACTTGGGTTTACATTTATCTTAGCAAGATTCATTACGGTACTAGAACCATGTTTAGCGAATGCTTTATGACATGTCAGATATAAATACAAGGTTTATTAAAATGATATTCTGGCTCCCACAGCCCGGACACATTGATTCAAACTTCTGATCTTGGAGTATAATCGATGAAGAACCCCAGGTGGTCGAAATTTCCGGAGCCCTCCACTACGGCGTCTCTCATAATCATATGGTGGTTTTGGGACGTTAAACCCCACATATCAATCTTGGAGTATATTCGAAGAAGACGTACGCTGTTTTTATTTCGGTAATGGTAATCCGTTGCCTTTCTGGTAAGCAACATAGGATGGTAACGCGAATATTTATTGTTAACTTAGCGAGTAACCTGTCTGGTTACTTTTTTTTTTTATGTATACAACACCACTTGTTTCTAAACTAAATGTGCCAAGAAATCTCCTAGTCCAGGCAGAAGTGGTATCTCAGTGGAGCTTTGCAGATCGGTCGAATTCCCTTGGTGCAATTTTATTGACTCACTCGATCCAACTTCTTTTTAAAAGGCGTAAACCAACAATAATAATAAAAAAGAGTAAATAGTAAAGCTATGAGCGTTGTAGTGCATGAACACCTGACATGCATGAAAATAAAGTGTTTTTTGTAAAAACTGTTCGCATGTCTGCTGCTGAAAACATGTTTATTGCGCTATTTGTGTGTAACTGCGTAACTGTGAATGATTGATTGATATGTGGGGTTTAACGTCCCAAAACGACCATGATTATGAGAGACGCCGTAGTGGAGGACTCCGCAAATTCAGATCATCTGGGGTTCTTTAACGTGCACCGAAATCTGAGAATGAGTAACTGTACGCCACTAAAACTGTTACATTCAGTGGCTGATAATCAACGCTAAGAGAGTATTCAAGTTGCGGCTTGCGCAAGATTATGCGTTCGGAACAGCGAAACGGGGCTCTGATACCAAAGTTTCCACTCGTGGTTGAATAAATTTAGTATGTTCAAATTAATATGAAGCCTTACAGTGATTAACATCTCTGGGCGCACCTGCAGCTCCGCCGCGAATAAACGCAATATCATTACAGGCCAACTTCGGCGATTTTTCGAGGTCAATGGATCTTAATGAAATTCACTGGGTATGTTCCTTTCCACATTTCCATCATTTATACCAATTTAGAGGCTTGAGAGATGCGCTGATTGTTTGCAAACGATTTCAAAGATTTCCTCGCAAAGCTCACATCGCTTGCCAGAATTATTGGAAACACTGTCTGGGTGACGTCATGTTTGGCATGTCAACGGAAGTGATGCAGCTGATGCCAACGCTATTCCGGCCACTACAGCGTTTATTGTGGTGGCCACAAGGAGACGGCGGAGGTGTTCGGCACGGGTATTGCAGAGGAAAGCTTTCTTCCTCCCCGAGAGGTGTTTGGCTGGTGCTTCACTCGTCTGGATTTCACAGTTTTCATATTACGTGCCGGCAGGACCAGTATACGGCCTCCAGTTCTTAACAAACAGTACGTCATACGCAGTAAGGGCACCCGTTCAGGTTTCAGTTTAGCACCTTTTTTCTTATTAAAATCATTTGCGAATTTTCTGAGCATTTGAGATATTGGTGTCGTGACAAGAGTATCTCAGGAACATAGAAACACCATTACCTTGACATGGTCGAAAAATCACCGGAGTTAGCCTTTAAGTCCACGAAAGTTGGCGACAAGTCTTGCTCGTAAGAGTGGTTCCTTTTCAAGAGTGGTTTTCAGAGATAATACTTTAAAGGCCTTAGATACAATGTACTGCCCTACACTTGCTCGATCAAAACGATTTTACCGAAAACGGGTCACCACCACACAGCATGTGGAGAGCGGCGCATGCTGTCTCGTTTATCTCCTCCGCAAGGTTACCCGCGTCGGTGCGTGCAACGCCCCAAGCGGCATCGGCATGCTTTGGGGACCGGTTTCGGCGGCCGCTTTTCACACCTCCCCATTATAGCCACCCTAATACCGCTGGGGCGTTGATGAAAATCGCCTCGGTGATGCGAGCACGACTGGCGCCCGGCAGACGGTGATGCATGCTGCTGGGAGAGGCAATTTTCGATGTCGCGTGGTCTCTGGCCGTAACGGGGTGGCGGCGAGTACGCAGAGAAGCCTTGAAGCCCAAGACGGCGATATGGGCACTGGCGGTACAAGTGATCAGCTTCTCCGCAGTGAAAGCATAGAGGCCGGGGATCATGTGTGTGCCAAACATCAGACTTCCGAGGAGACATGTGCCGATTGTCGATGTACTGGACCGGTTGCACCAAACGATGGGCGACAGAAGCACCACGGACAAAGGGCAAGGGTGGTGGTGTGTATGTGCCTTCGTAGTACGATATGTGCTGTGCTGACTCGAGTGAAACAGCAGGGACAGGATGAACGAACAATGGCAGCGACGCAGCAGGGCATTTCAAGGCTTCCGCATAGGTTGTCCCACGGCAGTATTCAGTAGTAGCTGGCGCAGCTGTATCAAGAGACAAAGTGTCCCGGAGAGCCTGGTGCAGCTCATCCTTGATCAAAGTTGCAACAGAGCTAACTGTAGGACGAGGTGTTACACCAGCCTTTTGCAACTCTTCACATACTATATTACGGATGAGTTCACGTAGAGAGTCATCGCTGGTTCCAGCGGCGGTGAAAATGTCGGCAGTAGACATGCCACTGACTTGCCTGTCGTATTGGTTGGATCGCTGCTGAAGCATTTTTTCCACTGTCACGGCTTCAGACAAGAACTCCGCCACCGTATTCGGAGGGCTTCGCACGGGGCCGGCAAAAAGCTGGTCCTTGACACCGCGCATCAAGTGACGCAACTTTTTGTCCTCCGTCATTCTCTAATCGGCCCGTCGGAAGAGGCGCGTCATGTTTTCGACGTATGTGACCACAATTTCGTTTGGCGACTGGACACTGGCCAGAATAGCTCGTTCAGCTCTTTCTTGGTGATCAGCGCTGGCATAGGTCTGTAGAAGTCTACGAGTGAATTCGGGCGACGTCGTCAGCTCCTCTTCTCAATTTTGATACCACATACGTGCCCCGTCTTCGAGATAGAAATAGACACGACCCAGTTTCGCCGCATCATCCCACTGATTCAAGGTGGCTATGCGCTCAAAGTCCGCCAACCAGTCCTCAACGTCCTTGCGCTCTGCACCATGGAACGTCGCCAGTGCCGCTGGGCTTTCCAACGTATAGCGGTTCGATGTCGTGCTTCCCGTGCCGGTTGGCGAGGTTTCCGCCGAAGCGCTGGTCATGTTTGTCGACGTGGTGAGAGCAGTATCGTCGACTTCCGAAGGCGATCCCCTGATTTGGCGGCTGGTCCGATACACGGGAGTATTAACTGGCACTGGACTCGTACTACGGCTCCCTGGGGGGGGGGGTCTGCAGCATCCATTGAGACTACCCAGCACTTCCACCAGTTCACATTCAATTCATATTCAATGCGAGTTGCAAGTGTCTACTTCTTGTCTTCTAGTTTGTGCTACTTTGAGTATTGTGGATACATTCAATTCATCTGAAAAAATCAGTGTTCACGGGTCCCCAGTGTCTCTTTATGACTTTATACCCGGTGTTTCAAACTCACCTCAGCTGATGGGCCACAGTCAGAAAATATCATTCTCTTGATGGGCCACACTCGTAAAGCAGGTTTTAGCATGAAAGAGTTTGAACAAAATGTCAGCTGAAGTTGCAATACAAAAAAAGGTCTTATTGAGAAACATATTATTACTGATCATATTGAAAGACTGAAATTTGTTAATCAAGATGCCGATTCTGAAATATAGTTTTTGATCCATGGTTATGTTCTAAAACATTACTGGATAGAGTGCCTTATGAAAAAAAAATTGCCTGAGATCAGTCACCTTTCTGTAGCTCATGAACATACTTATCAAAAATATGGAATGAGGACAGTTGTGAACAGGTCAGGCTGATAGCAAAAGGTCCACGAGTTGCATATTTGAGACCCCTACTTTAGAGCATCTATGTTCTGCCCATCTTTCAAAGAGAAAAATAGAAGATGCACAAACCTCCAGTCTCCATATTCCAATAGTACGTGTCCCCTCCCTCAGTGACACCTTCAAACCACAACACCACTGGTGCTGGCGTAGACAAATTCGCTGCCTCTTTCTCCGCTGCTTTTTCTTTGAGCTTGGCTTCCTCAGCAGCGTACCGATACGCTTCAATTTTCGAGCCCCCGGTCTTGACATCTTTTTCAAATGCCTGCAATGCAGCCTGCAACACGCAATTATTGGGGTTACCAACCTGAGGGTGCGGAACGGGTCATTGATTCCATACCTGGTTGATTCCATCCATGATGTTTTCATAGCTCTGCTGAGCTTTCTGCATCTTCTTTCCTTTCTTCATGATCTGCAAGCACCCCAAAATGTTATGGAATTAGATGGACCGTTCAAAATGCTAGTGGCCTACGAATTCCTGCTTCTTACCTCCGTGATACGCTTTTGCACATTGGCTTGATGATTTTTGCCCCTTTCATGAAAATCTATGCTCTGAAAAAAAAACAGAGAAGTTTACACTGTTCTTGTAAGGATACAGCAGAACAACACTAAAATGCTTTCTCAAGTATTTAGTGTTTTGTGAATTCCCTAAAGATCAATAAGAAGAAAGTGTAAAAAAAGAAATATAGTTCACAGGCTAATTAACATGGAACAAAGATCTTGTGTTATCACAGCAGCGCTACAAACACTTGAAAACATCTAGCCTTTGTGATGAGTGATTTGCTGATGTCGAGTGGAATCTGTGTATTGAACACCTTTCAAAATATCTGCCATGTCTCAAGAAATGAAGGGTGCCAAAGGAGCAACATGAAAGAGCAATTTCACTACATATAAACAAAAGAATCTGTTAGAACTTATTTCTGAAATCATGATAAAAAAAATTGCTGAGAAAATCCTGATGAGACACCACCTATAAAGACCAATACCTACTGAAGGCTAAAATTATTGTCGTTAAAGAACCCCCAGATTCGTCGCTCAAGAAAAAAACTGTAAATATTGTCACAGGTATGGAGAGGTCTTTTTGGCACGGGCACCGAAATGACATATACTCGATGAATACGACGACACTTGTTCTGGGGCCGAGTCTGGGCCGCCCTGCTGACCTGGATTCCTGTGTGCTGTGTGCAGTATTAACCTGACTGGTGCTAACTTAATAAATATTTCCATAACAATACAATAACACTGAAAGTCATGGGCTAATCTGCCTGTTGCAATACTTACCGCCTTATTGTCTGCAAACCAACACTTGCAGACCTCGCAAAACTTTTTAGGTTGCGATTTCCAGTAGTCAGCCCTGAAATGATGACGAACAAGTCAGTAATTTCTTTACCACACAATCATATGGCATGAAATTGTATGCTGCACACCAATTTTCCATACACACTAGGCTTCAACTGTTAGTGATTACTGGGGAGAGTGAAAGCTGATGCAATGATGATGTCTCAGATAACTGATATTTCAACTTCCCTAGACTCCGATTTCAATTCGTTTCGTTAGCAAGACCCATATGGACAGTACTTGCACGTAACTAAGAGCAATGATAATATACAAGATGTCAATTAAGCTAGCGGAATCGAATAATAAAACATTGTAGACAAAGCATAAAACGTGTTTTCGTCAACAAATAAATAGACCACCAAGAAGCTCAGCAAGCAAACAACCAAAAGTAGCAGCTAGAAATGTACTTGCGGTAGCTTGCTAGATTATCTGAGGTAAACTAAGTGATCACTTCGGTTCTCATGTTATCACACTATCACTCACTTCTTTCATAATTTTAGCACTTCATTTTTTATCACGAATTAACAAGCCGCCAAAGGCTCATCCACCATTTCAACAATTAACTGACATGGCTATTACACTTTTCACCTTGATGCTTTTAACATATGGTAAAACACCTGTGTTTGCAATTACTGAAAAGTGCAGTTCTTTAACAATTAGAAGACATTCCTCTTTGTCCTTCCGTCTGTTTCTCCCTCCTTCTACAGATATAAAGCACGTACCATCTATTCAGACATCAGGTGAACTTAGGGCTTCACAGGTTTTGTGGATTAATGTCTGCGGACTCTGGAAACGACTTGTATTGAACGAAGTACTTTGGACAAGAGCAAAGGCAAGCGAACTATGCATAGTTTATTTCTGGAACAGTTGGTGCCCCTTGTATTTCTGAGAAAGTTAAGAAGAAACGAAGTGGACGCTAAAGATCCTAGTGTTGTCCACATTTCTTCTTTCTCCTTTTTTTTTTCCATCTCACACGAAGTAAGCGCGAGCCATTTTGCATACTTAACGTGGTCATACGTCACACGAAGTCTGACATCACATTTCATTTTTATAGGAACAGTTCAAAATCCGCATGCTGCAACTAACAATCTGGGCTGTTTGTCTATCCGATACTACAACTGCTTACTAAACGAGTTCGTTCAATAACACACGAAGCAGACGAACGTTTTCGCACTATACACTTCTCTGCTTCTCGAGACAGAAAATATTCCAATTAATTTGTCAACTGTTCGGGTTTAACCTCCCGAAACCAAGGTATAATTATGATGAACGTCGTAGCGGAGGGCTCCGGAAATTACGATCATCTGGCGTTCTTTAACGTGCCCCTGAATCTAGGTACACGGGCCTCCAGCATTTCACCTCCTTCGAAATAGCGGCCGGGATTCGATCCCACGACCTTCAAGTCAGCATTTGAGCACCGTAACAGCAAGACCACTGAGGCGGGTGGCCCAGCGCATCACTTTTATATGTATGCAACATCTATTTACAAGGCATTTACATTTCGGGTGATTAGCAATAGACTGTCAATCAACCAGTTAACGCAAGGTCAACTACAGTAAACGTTTACAATGTGTGCTTTATAGAATGAATTCATTTTGCAAACGTTTCGAGAGTACACTGCCGCTACACGTAACAACTTCGTCGGTGTCAAACCAGAGCGCTGCTACGACCAGAATGCCAGAGGTAGCAATCACAGTGGCTGTACCAACTAGACGGAAAGCAGCGTCGCCTCGTAAAAGCGTAGCATTGACGATAAATCAGAAACTTACATTGCGGATCGAAATGTTTGGATAGGAGAAACGACACTCAAAACGCCTGCGAGTGAATCGCTGTGGATTCAGACAACGCTAAAGCTTCGGATCAACTTGGCTTGCGTTGAGCCGCCATAGCATGGTTGGCCACCATAATAGTCACCATGACCATACGGTGCACGGAGGAAGGAAAGGTGATGCGGTGGCTTCGTGCTAAAAGTAGTTTCGTTCTCGACAAAGTAGCCGCTTAGATTGAGAGAGGTTGAGTGGTTGAGTGAGTGTTTGAGGCAGAGAAAGATGCCTGTATTCCCGCAAGCGTACGTCGTGAGAGGAGAAGGAGGGGGGAGGGCAATTAAAGATCGAAGAGAGTGGAAAAAAGACCACGTTCTTGAGATAGATTGAAGTCCTGCACACATAATGAAAGAGGTACAAAATCTTATAACATGTACCAGACCAGTAGTAACATGCAACCGCATGGTCCCTACCTTCAATTAACTTGAAAACGATTATTTAATCGGAATGCAAACGTTGTGTTTATCAGAGGAGTTACTTCCTCTATATATTTTGCCCCTATAAAACCGCAAACATGACCACAAATATAGGGACATACGGGAGAAGTAGCCCCGCCACGGTGGTCTAGTGGTTAAGATACTCGGCTGCTGACCCGCAGGTCGCGGGATCAAATCCCGGCTGTGGCGGCTGCATTTCCGATGGAGGTGGAAATGTTGTAGGCCCGTGTACTCAGATTTGGGTGCACGTTAAAGAACCCCAGATGGTCGAAATTTCCGGAGCCCTCCACCACGGCGTCGCTCATAATCATATGGTGGTGTTGGATGTTAAACCCCACAAATCAATCAATACGGGAGAAGTATATGTGTCAACCACTTGGGTGCCAGCAAAGCACAAACCTTTTTCTGGTGCACCTAATGTCAAATATGACATATACTCAGGTATGCGCCAAAACCTATAGCTTAGCAACTGAAGATGCAAAAAACAAAGCCAACGAAATAAACTGTCAGAAAACATTGGTGTGATTTGAGCACTGTTTTTAGGCATTACTGTGAAAGGCATTGATATCCTAGGCATATCTGATGCCATGAGAAGAACACATGACAACTGTATCCATGCATGCATATTGTGCACTGCTGCCTTAGCAGCTGAAAAACTGGGAAGTGCCAGCAAGGCACAAAGTGTGTATACGAATAAATGCATTATGCAGACTATACCGTTCACTCCTTTGGCAGAGAGGTATCGTAGAGGTTACGCATCGCTACAAAAACTGTCTTGAGATAGCCTAGCATTTACCTGTACAAGAGATGAATAACATTAAATGCTGCCTCCCAATTAGTTGTGATATTCCCTCTTTTTTATAGAATACTTTAATTTCCTTTGTCTCATTCATTTTCCTGTTTGTTTTCTACCTTGATGCTTCATAAATTCTAGTCACCCTAACATTCTTATAAAAATATTCTAAAAACCCTTGTTCTTTTAACGAAATCCTCCAAGGCATAAAATGACAAGCACCAGCAGTGACATCATGTCATTCCATGTCACTGACTAACTCTCTCAGACATAACACCCAAGGATAACAAGTAATGCAAATGAGTTCTGTGGAGACCCGCAAGGTGGTGGAAGTGTTAAGAGGAAAAGAAAATCACAGCATATCCATGGAGTGAACGATAACTAGTGGGGCAAAGCGTCCGTCCGTCCATGCTTCCATCTGTCCGTGCATCTGTCTGTCCATCCGTTCTTGCTTCCATTCGTCCGTCTATCTGTCTGCACCTGCAGTGCTGAGTGGGTCATAAAACCAGGCGGTCACGAACCGCGATGAGCTAGGAGGAATAGACCCTCGGCTTTAGAAGCTTTGTCCCTAACAGACAGCCACCTATTTGTGGCACAAAGCCACAAGAAAATCTGTACAGATTTCTCAAAAAGATTTTTGTGGCTTGGTGCTACAAACGGGTAGTTGTCTATTTTCTCAAGGATAACACGATGCCTGTGACGAAGATAGGTCCACCTATAGAAACGTGGACCAGTCTGTCTAAGGTCCTCATTCCTATTTATACCTATATTGCACATTGTGTGTCCACTCGTAGGTTCCCCCCTGTATTTTGAATTTCTATGCAAGCACACAAATTTGCCACTCATACACACGAGACATTTTATGTTAATATAACTGATGCTTTGTTTTCACTTCTCTTGTGAATAAAGTACGAATGCCATTGAGTTTTGTAGTACATGTCGCAAGGATAGGGCTTCAACATTGGGGCTGACGAATCAGTAGACCATTTTCATGCTATTCTCAGAATGCCCTGTGGGCACACAGAGAACTATGGGAAAAATGCATACACTGAACGAGCTGGCTGTTCCGTCGCTCGTAGATCCGTGAAAGTACAAAATAAAAAGTACAGTTCACTGCTTAATAACTATTATTAAATCCTAACTACCACACGTGTAAATATTGCAGCGGCATTTATCTTTATGCATGAAATGTGAAAGAAAAAATGTAGTCAGCCAGTGTAAGTTATCGTGTACTGATACATGAAGTCAAAACATACTATTGTGAGCTATGTGGAGTGGAACATTGAATCCATTTTTATTTAAGGATTACTTGTTCACAAGCTGCTATGGCATCGCAGCTAGTGGTCAAGCTGTTAACACCAAACTGCAGAGAAGTGTTGCAGTATTCTGGTATATGTATACGAATTATTATTTGATTTAAATTGACAAGTCACACACTGTTTAAGAAGTGAACACATTTCAAACATGTTAAAAGAAGAAGAGATGGGACTAGAATTCATTTTTCCAGTGCCTTGCTATGGTAAATGGCAGTTTTTTCATACATGCTTCTTAAGTTTCACAGCAGGGCATGTTTGCTGGTAGTGCTCATTAATATAGGTATTTAATTTCTCGACGGTGCAATGGAATATTGTTAAGCAAGGAAATGTGATGTATCGTATGTATACTGTGTTTCTTTGTGCTCGTCTGTTTTGCACCGTGTTTCCCAGCTAACATTGTACCAACAAGCCTAAATCCAGGTCCTGCTCGTGACGTTACTCTTAAATGTGTGGCTTCTTGATAAAAACTTGCGCACATAAGCCGAGAAGTAAAATTGATCACTTCAAGGAGGCAAGGTATCCTGCATACCATTGCATTGGTTTACTAAGTTTTCATTCGCATTGCAAAGGAAAATAGTGACGGAAGTTTTTCAAGGGTGAATATTGAAAAAAAACTAGAACTTATTGCAGTTATTCCATTTATTCTTAATAAGCTGCACAGCCTGTAACATGAATATGATGGTGAGGGTTGTGTTTTTCGCAGTGAATAAGCTTACCTAGTTGCATTTGTTCCATAGAGGACGAAAGATCGCACAGGTCTGCAGTGGGTACAGAAAAATGGGGCCAGATGCTTCCAATTGTTTTCTAAATTGAGTAAGAGTTGTTAACCGCATTCCTCTTTCATGTGTTGACGTGTTCGTAGGCAAGGCACACTAGTCGATGTATTAAAAAGACACTAAAGGCAGCTATTAGGTCGACGTTGATTGTTGAAGTAGCAATCCAGAAACCTCGTAGTGTTACTTTTGTGCCAAAGAAGGGCTTATATTAAAATAAAATTGCATTGTAGTGGTCCGCACTGGGTTAGCACACTTCAATTTACCCACCTCAATGAAAAGTCTGATGTCACTGTTGCCGTGCACATCGTTGCCCGGCTTTAATGTGCGGCCACCGACACTATAGTAGCAGCAAAGAGAAAGTAGCGGCAGCCATAGCAGCAACAATGGCCATTGAACAATTTTTAGCCAAGTTCTTCAAAAGTGCAGGCGTACTTGGTTCAACTGGGCCCCGCTAGACGGCATGACCTGGCCAGTTTAATTACACGAAAAATATTTTTTGAACCACTTGTGCCATTCCACATAGTAACGTCAGGTGTTCTGTGGTAACATCCAGTGGTTCTTTTTTCCACGAATCAAACAGAAATGAACAAGCAGCATTTTATTACGTCTCTTGATGCACGGAAGGTTCTTTGTTTAGTGCAGCAAGATTTATTACTGGTGATAGATTGTAGGGGGTTTGTCTGACACCACTGGGATTATTTTGAGACTGTCCTACTGCTGCGCAAGTATTCTTGTGCATTTACCTTAATTTCTCGCTAAGTAGGGCACTGATGTTGATAATATTGTCGTTTTAAACGTCCTCATACATTTTGAGATTTCACTGTCACATAAATTGTCATTTGACTTTATTGTCCTTTTAACACGCACTTCAGAGAGCATATAAAGTCATTGATAGAACCGTTTTACCTCGCCCCACATTCAGTCATTCAAATGTAACCTAATTTTTTGAAAGGATTAATTTTGTATCATCCTCATCAGACCACATGAGAAAGCAAGAAATCTCGGGGAGCTATCCCATCATAAACGCAGAACTTTATGTATGTCAACAATTTACACATTGTTACAAGAGAAGGAGTTCAACTTTTTTTTTTTAATCGACTATGAACACGCTCCTTGGTTGTGTCAGCTTTTGTACCTTTTCACGACATGTGCAATGTACCTCCATTTTCGTATATATATATTTTTTCACACATGTAGTAAACTCTGTCGTGAGTGAGCGCTTCTTTATTTCTTTTCCTGCCCTGCTTCTTTCTTTTAGAGTTTTATTTCTACTAGTAGTCATAGTGCCAATGAAGGTTCCTGGTGCTTGTCATTTATTACTTAACACGCATCGTGACTACAGTAAATGTAGCCCCGCCGCGGTGGTCTAGTGGCTAAGGTACTCTGCTGCTGACCCGCAAATCGTGGGATTGAATCCCGGCTGCGGCGGCTGCATTTCCGATGGAGGCGGAAATGTTGTAGGCCCGTGTGCTCAGATTTGGGTGCACGTTAAAGAAACCCAGGTGGTCAAAATTTCCGGAGCCCTCCACTACGGCGTCTCTCATAATCATATGGTAATTTTGGGACGTTAGACCCCACATATCAATCATTACAGTAAATGTGCCTCATTTTACTAAATGCCAACTATACTTTTTTAGCGAACTGTATGAATATAAGAGCCTCACATTGCACTCGGCAACAGTGTTGAAGGACGTTGATTTTATGTCCATCCATGAATTATTGACCACGCCTGAACTTCGCAGGCAACCAAGTTATACCTTACTTTATATTTCAATTATGCCGTAAAGCATACTGGTACTAAAAAATTAATAAACGGGGACACTTTTGAGTCACTCAGCTGCTGAAACAATAGGACTCTGAGGTTTGTGATTGAATTGTGCTGCAATAAGTACCAGCTTGCCAAATTCACTTTATCTGAGAAGCGCAGAGGCACAACACAGCCAGCATGAAAGCTAAAGCGTGAAGCGCACGCACTCGTCGCATCAGCTGCAGTGGCACACACACTTTTCCCGTGAGTGCTTGCGCGCCCACTGGGGGCGCTTGTGTGCTTGAAAAAAGTCTATGTGCACATGAATGCTGCAAGTAGTACTTGCTATTTATATCCATCTTTGCCAATGTCATACACACAACACTGGATATACAACTGAGAGATTTATTGCAGAGTATTTTACAGAGCCATTCTTGTCCAACTGTGACGCTTGGAAGTATGCCTTGAGATGGATCAAAAGTTTAAATAATGCTTGAGCCTGAAAGTAAGAAAAAAATAATAAATATGAACAAAGGTATAGGACTACAATAACACTCTAATCAAAACTACCCTTAAAATTAGAAACATTCATAATTGAATACACCTAAAGAGCCCAACTTCATAATGGTTTTTCTTCTGAAGCATTCTATTGTACCCTGGTTTGTGCATGGTGTCGTGACGCAATTTCCACAAGGTCAAATACACATGACAATCAACGTCAACGCGGGCATGCCGCTAAACACCACTCAGCATGATAAAAAAAAGTAAGATAATATAAAATCTAAACAAATGATTCCTTGTGAAACAGAAACTACTACATCAGCTATAAGAAATCATTAAGCCCATATTGGTCCATTCTCAACATTTGCAGCAAATAGTACAACACAGACACTAAATACTACGTCAGATGGAATGCGTTCCTAAACTATAAGTACAACTGTACAAACATCAGCTTGCAATAGTCATTTCTTTGATGCTTACGCCAAACGTTAGGTCTTTTACCTGAACAAGTGTGCAGTTCCCAAATTGTTCCCACACAGAAAGTAGCCACTGTTGGGCGATATGTCTATACAGTTTGAATATCTAAAGTCGTGCTTTCCAGGAAAGTTGGAGAAGGCAGTCAGACTAGGGAAGTGCACCTGTAAATAAGAGCAAGAATACTATATTGGCGAAGATGTCCACAAACTACACTTAGCAAGCACAGCCAACTACATTTGCTTCTTGGATGTGAAACTTGCTTTCTCATACAAGTTCGCCAATAGTTTTATTGTACCTCTCATGCACACAGTTTGTAAGTTGTGATGAATTAATGCCCTAAAAATGAGCATCAGCATGCATAACACACAGGCTGGCAAATGCGGCACACGGAGGACTGAACTTATGGTAGGAAAAAAGAATTTACGAGTGGGTTTTTTCACGTTTAACCGAATTACAAGGAGTTGGAAAAAAATTTAAAAGATTTATAGTCAGGCAGCATCAGCACATTTTTTAAAATAAAATAAAAACAAAACACAAAAAGATCAAAATACAAATCAGCTAAAACAGATTCAATACATATGCAGCAAACTTGTGCGAATATTCAAACCTTGAATATGCAAACGAATATTAACCTATTAGATTCGAATTCACATGTAATCCCCATGTAAAGGTCGTTTCACTGCAGTAAAGGAGTGCCATACCGTGAACACACATTTCCAAGGAAAATCCGCACTACCGCAGAGCCCCACATTAAGGTTGAGTGAACATACTACCTTCACATCGATCCTTACTTTTTTAAATTTAAAAGTTTGTTATAAAGGCCTATGCACTCTCAGTAGAGTAAATTTTAAAATGTAACATATTTTACACGTTATCCCTTGCATTATTCTCAAAGTCAAATCCTGCTACTATTAAAGATTGCTTCCACTTTCTTCTGCACATGATTAAAAAAAAATATTGTGATGGTTAGTAAAGTCATGACAAATATGCTCGTTTTTCTTTATAATACGTGATATAGATTATTCGGAGTCTCTTCCAACCTAAAATTTGCTATTTGCACAAGCTCAGTATGCAGCCTTATCTGCATGCGTGGTAATGTTCAAGTGTACATGCCTGCATTTGTAAGATAAGAGACCAACGAATTCAAAGTGACCAGTGAGTCTCATACCATCTTGACAGCATTGGGCTTGAAAGACGAGCTCATGGCTAGCAGTTCTGATGTGCAGTTGAATTTCAGCTGGGTTACCTCTGTTGTGAGGTTCATAATTTCCTTCAGAGGTGCAGGGTACCTTGTTTCGAGCAGCTTCGATGTCTCGTATACATTCACCACACCCGAATCAGATCTAATGGCCACGGAAAAAAAGCCGTGAACATCGTTGTTTATAGATGAGTAAATCTAAGTATAATGACACATTAGGTTATGGTCCAAGCCTGTAATGATGTGCATCAATGGACCGAGTTGCCACACCAATGAGTGGACCAATTCATAAACTTTCGCTGACACTGCCACTTTATGGCTTCAACAGCATTGCCAGGCTAACTGATGCGCTATTGACTTATTTGAGACTAAGTGAATAAATCTCTCTTTTCACTTCTAAAGCTGCACTTTACTTGGCATGTGTTCTGGTTGAATCACATAAAAGGTTTCTAGTTAGCTACATTCTACTAAAGTGTCATTACTATGTTTGTTATTGTGGGGTATTTTATTATATCTAAGAAGAAAACTTCAACTTTTGTTGTGTAGGTTTGCCACTGCAGCAGGTTCAAACGAAACTGCTTCACAGAAACAATCACTATAATACATATTCAAGGGTGTTAGAATGCTCTGCATTGTCCTTTAGTTTATTTAGTTTAGCAGGTTTTCTTTGCTCAATTAACACAAAGAAACAATAAGGTGGCTATTTGGGCCGGCTGGTTTGGCATCACAAACAAACCTATACAGTAAAACATAAATCTTTTTTGGTAGTAACCACTCTTTCGTCGTCTCAAATCTCCTTTTGTCTACATGTCGATTGCTCTACAAATCACTTTACTCTTACTGAAAAAAAAAAACGTAAGTTCAAGATGTCCTATTAGAATTTGATCTGGAAATACTAGTGAAAAGCCATTTGTTACGAGACCCATACCCTGAGGCAAGAAATTGTCCATTAGGGGAAGCAGCCAGGGAAAGTCCGTCTATGCAACCATGGTCTATAAAGCGATGCTGACAGCGACGACTGTTCATGTCCCAAATGCAGATGTCGCTGCCACCTGTGTGCCGGAAGAGGCGCGTGTAAGACAAAGTTTGCATCCACAAATAAGGAAGTCGCTAGCAACATCCAACAGTCTATCAAGCAAAACAAGAAAAGGCATAGAAGAAATTAATGGAAACATTTTAATAAAAATGCAAGAATACTAATGGGGAAGAGGAATTTTGGTGAAAAAACAACTTGCTGTGGCTGGCTGGAGCAGAATCTGCAATGTCTGTACTACAGATCTATTGTTATACCACTTTAATTACAAGCCACAAACATAGTGCCTCGATTCTTTGTATGCTACGATCAGCTGCATTTACACAAAGTGGCACGTTCCCTGCCTCCCATGCTTGTGCAGAAAGCTTGGAGGCTGCCTTCTTTTTTCCTCAGAGATCAAAAAGTACTTTCCCCATAGAACTTCATGAGTGTTACAACATCAATTACTTAGGCTTAACTGTATGCAATGCATGAGTCACTTCGGTGAGTTGCGCACTGTTTACAGAAAGCAATACTTCATGAGCATCGCACAAACAAAGAAAAAAAAATTTAGAGCCAATTAAACAGTACATGAAACAGGACTGCATGGGTATTCAATACTTCAAATACTTCTACTATTCAAATGTCGTAATAACCAATACTAGTCGACATTACCGTAATTACTCGAATCTCACGCGCACCTTTTTTCTGGTTAGGCAAATTCATAAATGGCATGCGCGTTAGAATCGAGTACGAAAAAAAAATGAATACGGTCATTCTATTGCCATCGGCATTTCCAAAATGGCCACCCCCTACGTGCGTTTGCATGGTGTGTCGGCCATTTCTGCCTATGTGTTTCTTATGTGCGGCACTTCGTACCTGTGCTGAGGAGTTCGTCATCTTGTAGAAAATTAGCATCGACGGCATGGAAGGGCCGACTTCAAAGACTCGACGAGTGCTCCACGATGCCGCTTTTAAAAGAAAAGTCATCGTGTGTGCCGAAACGGACGGAAATCGGGCCGCATCACGGTCGTTCGGAGATCCCGAAACGTGCGTGCGGGACTGGCGGAAACAAAAGCAGAATATCGTCGACAGCAAAGATTCACGCAAAGGCTTCAGTGAACCACAGCAGGGTCGGTTTCCGTAAATTAAAGAGCTGCTCGGCGAGTATGAGATTAAGCAGTGAGTGGCCCGTGACGACAGAACTGCTCCAAGTGCAGGCTATGCAGTTAGCCTTAGAAAAAGGGCTAATGCGGAGCCAGTTCAAAGCGAGCAGGTGCTGGCTAACCAACTTTATGAAGAGGAAAGGATTTTCCCTCCGAAGGCAGACGGGCATGTGCCAAAAGTTGCCGGAGGAGTACGAAGAAAAGCTTTGTAGTTTTCAGAGGTTCGTCCTAAACTTGTGGCACAACAACGATTACTTGCTTGGGCAAATCGGGAATGCCGATCAGACGCCTCTTTACTTTGACGTGCCTGGCACCACAACCGTCGAGAAGAAGGGGGCGAAGCAAGTTTGCGTGCTGACATCGGGCCACGGTAAAACTTGAGTGATGGCAATGCTCCGTTGTACGTCAGATAGGCACAAGCTTCCCCGTACCTCATATTTAAACGGAAGACGCTCCCAAAAGGAGTCGTTTTCGCGAGTGGTGTGATCGTGCAGGCCAACAGAATAATGAGTGCGCGTTGAAATCGATTTCTTACTCTTTTTTTTGTCGTGGAAACCGGGTGCGCGTTACAATCGAGGGCGCGGTAGAATCGAGTAAATAGGGTAGCTCTCGGGTACTACGTGGTTAAACACTAGCATGTGTCAGGAAAACTAAACACATTTTCTTCATTTATGAATCTTTTAATGAAGATGCTTTAATAAAGATTTCTCAAAATGATTAAAAGCCACTTACCAATAGTGTACATCGAAGAGCCATTGGTAGTGAATGCAACACTCTTCACCTGCTTATTCATTTTTAATGTGTACAAACACTCCTTTGACTGAAAATACAAATGAGATAATGTCAACACTAAAACATGAATCACTTTTACTGAAACAGAGGTTGAGAGCAACAGTTGTCATTTGGTGGTTGAATTGACTATATTCAGAGAATGCGCATGCCCATCATGTGCCACAGCAACTTTTATAAAGCTTCTATTCAGTCACTTCATGAAAGACCAGTAGGTGAAGACAGTATAGGAGCCTTTTTGCTCATGTATTAATATGATTGGTAGCTTTCACTGGACAGTATGGTGTTGACGAAGGTACCTGATGAGCAGTGAGAAGGTTAGCGACAGCGAGTGCAAAACCTTGACGACCTCACAGTCATCTATAAAGCCTGTTAACTTTGCCAATGATGCGAGCTTTCAAAAGTTCTTCTGCCACATGTTCATTAGAGACTGGCATACCTCAACTAGTAGTACTGTGTAACCGATTTTGTCTGATCCTAGGGTGGTTCAGGGGCCCTTTTAGCATCGTGTTTCTACCATACCAGGTTCTCTATTTTTACGCTTGTTCTGCACAGCCGTGTTGATGCTCTAGCCTTGTCTCATGCCCTCAGTGCCCTTTTTCTGCCCTCTTTTTTTTTTTTTGGGATGCTGGCAAAAATATGATGCATTTGCAGAGTGCTACTTACTTTTGCAGAGACGATGTGTATTTCACCAAAGCGCCCAGTCACCACAAAGTACTGTCCATCAGGCGACACATAAAATTGTTTAGCATTTGTGATGTTGAGACCTAGTATAAGAGAGGGGGTCAAGAAAGCGAGTTAAATAAGAGGTTGCCATTTCCTTTATTGATACCTTAACAATACTGCAGTTTTTTGCACGAAAACTCCGCATTTGCAATTAGGTGAAAATTGCTATGCTACTCGAGGGCGCTACATTTGATTTTCTGCTCGCCCTTTCTCTTCCCCTCGTCCACTTATGAGGTTGGCGGAGAGTGAGCCAAGCGAACATAAACACGCTGCTAAGGAACACATTTGCTTAGCTGACAAAGTAAGTCAAAGCGTTGGCTCAAGCAGCATTTCAAGCACAATGATATTTCATCACTTTAAGCCTCAATCTTCCCATCTTGTATGGAGAATGTCGTGTTACTAGTAGTCGTCTGCCATTCATTACAGCTGGGATATGAGGTGAAGGCTTTCATACCATGTTATCAGTAAATCTGCTTTAGTGATGATTCATGACCGATCATTTTCTTATGATGAAGTTAAAAAAAAGTTATCAGTTACATCTGTTTTAATTTAGGCATAATGTTTAAGGAAGGACTCTACGTACACACTGCATACAGCTGTTACAATGAGCTAAATAAAACACAAAATTTAACAAAAGTTTCCTATGACGCAAAAATGTAATGCCCTTCCATGCTTTTCTTCATGAAACAACTGACACCAAGTAAAGCTCACAAACTACCACCATTAAGTATGAATGAAAGCAAATACAAGGACGTAAATAATTAAGAAGACAGGCTTATAACCGCATCTGGAAGCTATGAACGCCTACTGTGTATTCCATGCTGTAGTGAGCACCCAGTATATACAGAACGCAGAGTTTAAAACAAAAAGGTGTTTTTTAGTTCATCCGCCTCTATAGCATAGTTTCCAGAGATTAATTTAAAGTGAAAATAAACTTTTATTAGAAAGCCTGATTGTTGGTAACTAGCTTACAGATAAGTTTACTTAAGTCATATCCGGCAGTATGCAGTCAATCTAACTATGCGAATTATCATGCATGGCAAAAACTTGAAAGGAACATTGGACATTTTCCTCTTCATCGAGCATGCCTACAAATTATTAAAAAAAAGACTAATTGGGCACACTTCACGAGTAGAGTTAGTCTGCAGTCTGGAATTGTTCAGCTTTTAGACAAGCATGCCAATAGACTATGCTGGATCATAGATGGAAGTTGCACAACCTATAAAGCTTTAGACAACCACGATGAATGTTTTATTAATCACCTTTAGGAAAACGGATCTGAGTTGTTTTCCCGGCCATCATGTCATAGCAGAACATGTGATCCTTCTGGGAAGAGCCCGCCCATATTTCGCGGCCGTCGTGCGAGAAGTGAGCGCAATGAATGGGGAAGCGGTCAAAGTGGACAGCCTGAATTTTGGCATTGGTCTTGCCATCAACCTGAAATGGAGAAAAAAAAAAAATGTTTGTCACTCTCGGGGTACTTGAAAGGGCAACCAAAGAACTTTGCAAGAATTTATCATGTCCACAACGAAGCGAGCACCTTGCTGAAAGCAGAATTGTCCATAATTAAATTAACAGATGAAAACTGTATGCAGAGGTAAATGTAGAATTTTACGGTGAATCATCAAGATTCATCCCGTATAAGTGGATCATGAACACAGAACCTCCTGTCAGACACTTAGGAGACTTTCCCTTTAGTGGTTTCCAAAACTATCATAGCTCAAACAAAGTGTTCACAAGCAAACTTGAAGCAAACAAGTGAAAAATCTTGAAGCTCACTGAGATTTGTAATGTTAGGCTTGTAGAGACAACCAATCTAACTATCAAAATAAGGAAAAGGTTTGCACCAGATAGAAAAATACTGATGAAGTTATCCTTGAACCATGACTCATCTTATGCAAATTTTTTTAAATGCTCGGTTTATTTCAATGAAGCAGTGATGGAAGCAACATTTTACTTTTTGGAGTAGATTCTGGAGCGGAAAAAATGGTGCTTGGGAGCAGCCTTTCCGGATCGGAAAAAATGCTGGTTTGGAGAAGCTGTTCGTGGTTTCAGAGCAGATGGCCCAATATTCCTAACTATTCCTGGAGTGTAAAACATCATTTAAACATGTGATAAATAATAATACTTATTACTAACATATTGAATGTAGAATAATGATTGCAAGAAACAAGTGACTAAGCACATGGATTGTCACTCAATGCTAATTAAGATTAGCTATATATATTTAAAATGCAAGCACTTGTGGCATAAATAATATTAAAGTGATAAAGCTGAGCACCAAATTATAGAACTAGGCACAATCACATGGAACTACCACCAAAGCAGCAATTTAAAATTGGTATGAAATCAAAGGAATATGTAATATTCACAGGTCCAAAAGATAACCAGCATCAAAAATTAAAAGAAATCTAATTGCATAAAATGCCAGTTCTTGTGGCATAAATTAGGTCAAAGCTGATATAATGGTAAATGTAATCAGTCACACATAGGTACCACTATGATATGGAACTATCAGCACGTGTATTTCACCAAAATAGTCTGCTTGTCAGGTCCAAACATACAACCAAGTCAGACACATATAGTGCCACAACTTCTGGCATGGCCAATACGCTTGGGTGCAGCTAGTATACAGTCAGTAAGCAAGCTGCGTACTACTAGAATACTAGGATGAGAGTACATACAGCTTGTTTTTGGTTGAGTCTAGGCTTGCTGAACGATCACACCGTTCAAGTCTGTTCTTTTCCATTTCCCAATACCATTTCTGAGCAGGTTCGGAGCAGTCACTAACAAATATGACACTTTGGAGCAGCATTTATCTTTGGGAGCAGTTTGGGACAATTGGAGCAGCGCTTCCATCACTGAATGAAGCAACATTGCTGCCCAGTAGTAAGCAGCATCAATAAGTGCCCTTCAGCATTTTTTAGTTTCCGTTCAGGGTAACATTTGGTTTATTACTTAAGCATAAGAAACTTATTCTTTTTCTTTGCTGCATGCAGATAACCTCTGAATTCGCCAATGCTGCAATTTGCAGTGCAAATGCTGATCATGCCTTTCAATGCTGTACTTACTCAGACATAGAAGGAATAATATTTCGTAGGAGTACACTGTCCTTCTGAGAGATAACAACAGGGAGAGTGCATTTGAGTGAGTGCTGTGAAACTGATATCTAAGCACACACAATGAAACTTTATTAGTAACATTATCACGGTAGAGAGCTACAACAAATAATGAGAAAAATGACTTGATATTGCCATGTTTCATTTCCCAAGTTTTGTTATCGTCCCAAAACACTACACGATTCTCAGCACAAACCGCGCCTGCAGTTTTCGAGAAGCTTCCGGACTGTAGTAGATCATTTCGATAAGATCACGCCTACTCTGCAAACTGTACAGATTATTCTGGAACCTACGCCACCGCCAGCGATAACGCTAGGACATTCGACGGCAAGAGTATAAATGCTGACGCGCTTTGCCGCTTGTCCGTAGTTGATCGACGGCCGATGCTCCATTCAGTGCTATCTGTGCAAGACTGCTACTGTAATCGAACTTTCCGTTTACCGGGCACAGGTTCGCCCAAATAAACAGTTAAATCCCAACATAAAGTCTCCTGTCTTCGGCCATGCCACGACCCCGTGAAATCTGGTGGAGATGCTGCTTCGTTCATGTACCGGACGCTCCCGTCAAGCCGTGAACCCAGCCCACGTCGCGGAGAAGACACCGACGCCAACCAGGAGCAGCGAACAAGCCGCCGACAGCAAGGGCTACCACCGGAGTACGGGCTTCTACAAGACAAGGCACGGAAGACCAAGGCCATGACCGCGACTGCAGCGACAATGACAACCGCAGCGTCCCAGCCCACGATGGTCATGCATCAACCCAGGGAACCACCAAATTTCCATGGGTCATCGTTCGAAGACCCGGAAACCTGGCTAGAAACATACGACCGTGTGGCCGCCCTCAACCACTGGGACAACGAAGAAAAGCTCCGTCGTGTGTTGTTCTATTTGGAAGACACCACAAAGACCCGGCTCGAAAATCGGGAGTCCACGCTCCGAACGTGGGATGTTTTCCGCGGTGCATTCCTGCAAACGTTCGCGAGCGTCGCTTGCAAAGAGAGGGCCGCTGCTTTATTAGAGACCCGGGTTCATCTACCAAATGAAAATGGTTCAATTTTCACAGAAGAAATGACCCGCCTATTCCGTCACGCTGATCCAGACATGCCTGAGAAGAAAAAAGTTCGTTTCCTCATGCGAGGGGTCCAACAGGAGCTCTTCGCGGGACTGATGAGAAATCCACCGAACACCGTCCAAGAATTTGTAGCCGAAGCGACCACTATCGAAAAGACCCTGGACATGCGCACCAGACAGTATAATCGTGGCCTGACTGCAGACTGCGCTCTTGCTCAAGCCAAGAACTCCGGAGACCTGTGTGAAAAGATCCGAGTGATCGTGCGGGAAGAGCTGCTCAAGCTGCTGCCTTCGGCGGGCCTCAAGTGGATTCAATCGCCGACATTGTGCGAGAAGAAGTTCGGCAATCGTTTCGAATTCCCCAAGCACCGCTGCCCGAGCCGGAAGCTATGAGCTACGCCGCAGCAGTGCGCCAGAACGCTCCTCCCCGTCCACGCCAAAACACCGCCCCGTCGCACTTCCTTCGACAGACGCCACCGCCGCCTTACCGATCGCCAGCGGCCCAGCGGGGTGCGCCGAGGAGGACTGACGTCTGGCGCACCCCTGACCACCGCCCGCTCTACTACCACTGCGGCGAGGCCGGACACACATACCGCCATTGCCAGTACTGACAGATGGGACTGCGTGGCTTCACCATCAATGCACCGCGTGCACAGCCAGGAGAACGGCCACGTGACATCGCCGACTACCTGACAAGAACTCAGTGAACACCACGAAGCCCTTCGCGTTCGCCGTCGCCCAGCTGCGGCACGTCACCGCACCACCGGCAGTACTCTGGTCCAACGCGGGGCCGGTCTCTTAGCCCATATCAGGGAAACTAAGGGCAGCAACCGATGGAGGTGCGGTTGCTGTGCGACGAACTACCGAAGATCCCCCGACGATGACGCCGCCGCGACGGAGCTTTTCGAACACAACGCCAACCAGGCAAAGTCCTGACGGCGAAACCTCACTTACCGAAGGTGACCTGACAACGCAACATGGAAGCAGCGGAACAAGCCAACGCAGCCGTGACCCGACACCACGCCCTAACTGTAATGCGCGACGGCGAAATAGCGACCTCAGCGTTCTTATCGATGGCCACACTGTGACCGCTTTCGTCGATACTGGAGCAGACTACTCAGTCATCAGTGGGTCGTTCGCCGCGAAGTTAAAGAAAGTTAGGACAGCTTGCGAAGGCCCTGAAATCCGCACAGCCGGAGGTCATCTCGTAACGCCTGCAGGAATCTGCACAGCGAGAGTCACCATTAACGGCCGTATTTATCCTACAGACTTCGTAGTCCTACAGCGTTGCTCGAGAGCTGTCATCCTTGGCATGGACTTCCTATGCCTCAATGGTGCTGTCATCAACCTAAAAACAAAGTCGATAACGTCATCCACAGAAGAAGCATTACCGCCGTGCACGCCGTCAGGAACCCATACCTCGAATGTGCTGGAAGAACAAGTCACCATTCCTTCCGCTCAAGCGTCATTATTGCAATCGGCGCTCCTAAATCACCTGTCTTGGAAGGCGTTGTTGAAGGCAGTCAGCATCTGTTGGTCACCCGAAATATTTGCGTCGCAAGAGGAATTGCAGAGCTGCGGGGAGGCAAAGCAACGGTTATGCTCACGAATTTCAGCAATGAGTACAAACATGTGAACAAAGGAACAACGGTCGCTGTTGTCGAAGCCACCAATGCTTTCGTCCTCGCCGATTCTGCGGAACCTGCTCAGAGGAACCAAGCTCCTCCCTTAGCTTTCGATGTCAATCCCAGACTTCCGAACCATAAGCAAGAACAGCTCAAGGCCCTGCTCCTGCAATACGAAGATTGCTTTTCGTCGTCATCAAAAATTCGGCAGACCCCAATCACGAAACATCGCATCATAACCGAAGAAAATGCCAGACCACTCCTTCAGAGTCCGTACAGGGTTTCGACGCGAGAACGTGAGGCCATGAAGAGACAAGTTGATGAAATGCTGCGGGATGACATTATCCCGCCGTCCAAGAGTCCATGGGCATCCCCCGTGGTGTTAGTGAAGAAAAAGGATGGGACCCTACATTTCTGCGTCATTTATCGCCGCCTGAACAAAATCACAAGAAAGGACGTGTATCCTCTCCCACGAATAGACGACGCACTTTATCGGCTCCATAACGCCAAGTACTTTTCGTCAATGGACCTCAAGACTGGCTATTGGCAAATCGAAGTCGACGAAAAAGACCGAGAGAAGACGGCATTTATAACACCGGGCGGCCTCTTCGAGTTTAAGGTGATGCCCTTCGGTCTTTGCTCAGCGCCTGCAACATTTCAACGCGTTATGGATACAGTACTGGCAGGATTGAAGTGGCAGGCTTGCCTTGTGTACTTGGACAACGTCGTCGTGTTTTCCTCGAGTTTCGACGAGCATCTTCGGCGCCTTGAAACTGTACTTCAAGCCATCAAGACATCCGGACTCACACTGAAGCCAGAAAAGTGCAGATTTGCGTTTGAGGAGCTCGTTTCTGGGGCACGTTATTAGCAAGTCTGGAGTTCGTCCCGATCCACGGAAAACAGCCGCCATCGCTGACTTCCCGCCGCCCACTGACAAAAAGGCGGTGCGCCGATTTCTGGGCCTGTGCGCCTATTATAAGCGGTTCGTGAAAAACTTCGCCCGCATCGCCGATTCTTTCACTAACCTTACCAAGGCCGACGTGGAGTTCAAGTGGGAAACGCCGCAGGAACACGCTTTCCAGGAGCTTAAACATCGCCTCCAGACGCCTCCGTTACTTGCCCATTTCAACGAATTCGCCGAGACAGAAATACATACTGACGCAAGCAGCGTAGGTCTTGGCGCCGTTCTTGTGCAGAGGGCTGACGGACTTGAAAGGGTTATTAGTTACGCCAGCCGATCGCTATTCAAAGCAGAAGCCAATTATTCCACAACAGAAAAGGAGTGCCTCGCCATCATCTCGGCTACGTCGAAATTTCGCCCCTACCTCTACAACAGGCCCTTCAAAGTTGTGAGCAACCACCACGCCTTGTGTTGGCTAGCCACCTTGAAGGACGCTTCAGGTCTCCTCGCACGATGAAGCCTGGGACTTCAAGAATATGACATTACTGTCATTTACAAGTCCAGCAAGAAACACTCTGACGCCGACTGTCTCTCTCGTGCGCCTGTCGACCAACCACCACCCGACGACCCGGATGACGACTACTTCTTGGAAACGATAACTACCGACGACTTCGCCGAACGACAGCGAGCCGACCCGGAACTTAAGGCCCTAATATAATACCTCGAAGGCAGGACCGCCGAAGTCCCGAAGGTATTCAAGCGCGCACTTGCATCGTTCTTCCTGTGAAACGGTCTTCTACAAAAGAAAAAATTTTCACCACTTCGAGCTAAGTACCTCCTTGTGGTGCCATCAGCTTTGCGACCGGAATTCCTGCAGGCCCTGCACGACGATCCGACGGCAGGGCACCTCGGTGTTTCTCGCACGCTCGCGAGGATACAAGAAAGGTACTACTGGCCACATTTTCCCACCGACGTCACTCGTTATGTGAGGACATGCCGGGACTGTCAGCGACGCAAGGCACCGCCCACAAGGCCAGCGGGACTTCAGCAGCCAATTGAACCACCTTACCGACCTTTCCAGCAGATTGGTATGGACCTACTGAGGCTGTTCCCGACGTTGGCTTTTGGAAACAAGTGGATCGTGGTAGCCACCGACTACCTCACCCGCTACGCCGAGACAAAAGCCCTTCCCAAAGGCAGTGCATCCGAGGTAGCTAAGTTCTTCGTTGAAAATATCATCCTACGTCACGGCGCCCCGGAGGTCCTTATCACCGACAGAGGAACGGCATTTACTGCAGACTTAACTCAAGCGATCTTGGCATACAGCCAGACAAACCACCGCCGGACGACAGCGTACCACCCAAAGACCAACGGCCTCACCGAGCGGCTTAACAAGACGATCGCCGACATGCTGGCAATGTACGTCGATGTCGAACACAAAACGTGGGACGCTATTCTTCCGTACGTGACCTTCGCATACAACACGGCGGTGCAGGAGACGACGCAGATATCTCCATACAAATTGGTCTACGGAAGGAGCCCGGCAACGACGCTCGATGCCATGTTACCCAACGTCACCGATGAAGAAAGCCTCGATGTGAGTGAGTACCTTCATCGCGCCGAAGAAGCCCGACAACTCGCGCGTCTCCGTATCAAGAATCAACAGACGACCGACAGCCGCCGTTACAATCTTCGACGACGCTTCGTGGAATACCAGCCCAGTGAACGTGTTTGGGTGTGGACGCCGATACGCCGACGTGGACTGAGTGAAAAGCTTCTGCGAGGTACTTCGGACCATACAGGGTGGTTCGACGTCTCGGCCCACTTGATTACAAGGCTGTCCTTGACGGCATCACGAACTCTCAACGACGCCAATCGCGACCTGAAGTTGTCCATGTCGCGCGCCTCAATCCGTTTTATGCGCGTTGACAAACTGAAACAGTATATTTTGTATTATTATTGCATCGTAATTTATTCATTGTACTTTCTTGCATTATTGTTGTACCTTCATCTTTAGTTAAAGCATCGGGACGTTGCCTTTTTCAGAGGGGGGCAATGCCACGTTTCATTTCCCCAAGTTTTGTTATCGCCCCAAAACACTACACAATTCTCAGCGCAAACCGCGCCTGCAGTTTTCGAGAAGCTTCCGGACTGTAGTAGATCATTTCAATAAGATCACGCCTACTCTGCGAACTGTACAGATTATTCTGGAACCTACGCCACCGCCAGCAATAACGCTAGGACATTCGACGGCAAAAGTATAAATGCCGACGCGCTTCGCCGCTTGTCCGTAGTTGATCTGATCGACGGCCGACGCTCCGTTCCATGCTATCTGTGCAAGACTGCTACTGTAATTGAACTTTGCGTTTACCGGGAACAGGTTCGCCCAAATAAACAGTTAAATCCCAACATAAGGTCTCCTGTTTGGCCAGGTCACGACCCCGTGACAATATATAATACGAGGCTTTATGATCAACAGTGGAGGAAAAAATCAAAAAGACATTAAAGCAGGGAGAAAAGCCAAAACCGACATCTACTCCATCATACCAGCTTTGCTTTATCGCCTTACCAGTATGTAATTATTAACTTGCAAGGTTCCCAGCATCACGGAGGCATGCAGGATTGCAAGCTGAACAAGTGAGCCGAGTAGAGAATAACTAACGAAGTAACCAGCCATAGGTGTGAGCACAAGAAGACGGCAGGGGTGGCACCACCCCATTAACCCTTTCCCTACTGAAACATCAGGCCAGACACGATACATTGCAAATGAACGCGTAGATTTCTGTACCAAAATGCATGCTTTGGGCATATTCTTAAATATGTTACTGCACCATCTGTTCAAGCAAAGGAGAACCCATCAAAATGAATCAGAGTAGCCTTAATGCGTAGACAAACTCAACTTGTCTTTGGTGGGAAAGGGTTAGTCAACTAAAAGGGGGGAAGGGGGCGATTCTATCCCGTAGCTTAACTCAGTCGGACCTTGCAAGTCATTTTTTATTGCACGGAGTCCAGGCTACACATGTTTTTTGATGGAAGAGGCAACCAAGGTCCCCTGATGTTGCATTGAAAGAGCTGCTTACTTCACATAATTTACCCTGGAAAGACAGGGGCAAATAACATGTTTTTGTGAGAAGCATGTAATGGCTCCATTTTCATCTGCGTATCAATCACTGAGATGTTTTTAAAAATTTATTTGAATTTACCCAGCTTGAGGAAGGGAGGATACGACAGTCGCCCCTCCCCCCCCCCACCTCCCTCTATGAGAGTAAACACGACTGCACAAGGAAGCTACAAGGAAGAGCAAAAAACTATAAAGAAAACGGTTTGCATTTCATTCCATTTGTGTCTTGGAAAAACATTCAAAATAAAATCGCACAAAATGTACCTGGCAGATTGTTGCTGTGCCCGAAAGACCTGCTACTAGCGCCACTTGAGAGCTGGGGTGAAACTCAACACTCTTCAGCACACTCTGAAAGACAAAACAGGACAGTGAGAAAGCTGTTAAACAAAAAGTAGTAGAACTACACAGGGAAATGAAACAAACTGACACAAAACAACACCACTCATATGATAATAGCGTTCTTTCATCTTTCACGAGCAGTGGCCATTGTGAAACTTCACTATTTGATGTTTGCAATAAAAGGTTGTTCTGCAAGTCTACCGCTATAACTCTGAAGAGCAACAAGTGATACTCCCACCGCCACATCTGTTACACACATACAACAACAGGCAAAATTAACCGAGGCTTCAAGAAAATGTCTTAGTAACGGCAAAGATGGATTACCTTGATGTTTTATAGTAAACATCAAACAGGAGACTACCAAAATATTTCTTACATTTTCCCTCGACTCAAATGCCAGAGGTGTACATTTATGAATTTGCAAGGTGTTTGTTGGCAGGTTCTTGGAGTCTCCAACAAATCTGGTGGCTTTTCGCAAGATCTCGTCGTCCTCTTCATCGTCTGTACATGAAAAAAAAAAAAATTACATAATAAAGATTTACACATGAGTAGCATGAACTGGGCATAAAAGTAAACAATTAAATGAGTGTCTATAGGCATATTATGCTGTCGCACATCTCAAATACCGGTACAGAAAACTGGCAGTGTTCAATGCCAAGAATGATAAGCTATATATAAAATAATCAGCACCGATTTGAATTACTCAAAAAATGCACGGACAGTGACATGCAGGATTAATTACAAACAGATAAACACGATTTATTCTTCTTTATTACATTAAGTACACGAGCGTTCTCTCAAATCATCCTCGGTAGGAATGCGCCTGCCACGGCCAAAAATTGGACCCACGACTTCCTCCTTAGCAGCAGTAAACATAGCCACTTGCACATTTTTCCACTAAGGAAAAATGTGCAAGGAGCATAACAAGACAAAATAAAGAGTTGTATTGCTGGTTAATCAAGCAGCCTGCATACACAGGACATTGAGGCAATGGTATTATGCATGCTCGAAGCCCGAAGCACATCGTCCAAGGAGCTACGTGTACACACCACCAAAAACACCTCGGCCACTACTGTCCTCCTAGTAGAGATTATCTATCCTGAGCAGATGACGTTACCCATAGCGTCAACCACTTTACTCTCACGGCAAACCATGCCGAGGCTGGCCAGATCAATCCACTGGAGTGCAAAAGTGCCCGAACATTACGGCTTAACTGGCTTGTCCAAGCATAGAGAGAGAAAGAATAAAATGAGGGAGAGCATAATGCAAGGCGATGATGGATGAAAATAATCAGTAGACAGGAAAAGACGATGCCCATCACACCACCACAAGTTCTCCTTGTGCATGTCGTTCTCGGACTGCAACCAGCCTTCTCGATTGTTTTGCACCAGCTTCAGTCACAACTTCGTCCCATAAAAAAACCTTTTCTGCCCCAGCTTGATAACCTTTGTCATATTAATGATGGATATTTTATGGGAAGCAGTTTATTTCATGCCACTGCCTATGCTTCCTTGAACATTTTAAACTGCAAATACAAACCAATTCGTACATGACAATACGCTATGGCGCTGCGAGTATGTGGGACCTTTATGTGGCTTGCGTTTGGGTAAGTACAACTATAATACATGTCTGCGTGCATATGTAACTTCTCGTGCACCCACAATCTTGGGGCCCCAACCGATTGTGTACCCAGATAAAACTCTCTAATAACAGTATATAAAAAAAAGTAAATACTTATAAGTAGCTTGGTCTAATGCAATGTTCCAAAAACAATTTGCCCTACCGTTACACCTGCTCTCAAATGTAGTGGACAGTTCAGACATGACTTTTGAATTTAGGTTTAGGAATAATAAATGCATTACATGTGACCATAATACTTGCATTAAACAAGGAAATGATTGTATCCCGAATCTGCCCAAACTGATTTAGTCCTTTTTTTTAAAGGGGGGCAGCTCGCCGAGTTGCCTAACAGAAACATTGATCTATAGTCTACTATAAAGTACGTTAGATGAATGCTATATGTATAAAACATTATTGGCGATAAGAATAAGAAAGCATCGAGAAAGATGGCATACCTGAAGGTTTTTCAGCTTCAGTCTGCTCTGCCCACTTTGGCACACCCATGATTTTTGTGTACCTGGCAAGAAAAAGCAAGATTTAAATCGAGCTTATTGTAAAGGCAGGTGTCTACAGCCAGCTTTCATAACTGAAGGTGGCATCTCGTTCCCCACTAGAGCGTGTGCCGGCACCGCACAGCTGAGTGCAATCTACCCCTCTCTCCCCTTTGAGCTCGCTGCTGCCTAGTGCGTCCTCGCTGTGGGAGAGATGCTCACAGGTCTGCACGAGAGGCCGACATGCTGCTCTGGCAAATAGCTTCTCGTCCGTGTGCTCGACTATTGCCTTTTGTGCGATAGTTGTAGTGCCACTAGCAAGCGTACACTTAGTCGGTCATGCAAAAGTTTCCTGTCAGCCTGCAAGCCCGTAATTGTCGTGCTGTGCTGTACGTTGGGTTATTAAACCCGTGTCTGCTGACAACCTGCCTTGAGTGCCTATTCTGTGCTGAATGAGAGAGTCCACAAACTTGGCCACAGTGTCTTCGTGCGCTACGTTGGTTGAAAACGTTCCGTTCTTCCCAATCACGCTCGTAGGGTACGCTCTTCACAAACCTATCTCCGCATATTAAAGGGGTCCTGCAACAGCTTAAGGCCACGAGGCAAGGGTGATGTAGTTTCCTTACCCCTGCCATCCCTCCCTGCTTAGCTTCCAGCGCTTTTGTCAGGACAAGAGAGAAGAGAGAATGCAATCGCAACATGTGACAAATTCTTTGTAACTCCACTCCCACAGGACGGATTGATAAGGTAATAAGCTCTTCCAGTGAATTAATTCCATGGTTACTTGAAAAGTGTTTCAGGGCTCCTTTAAATCAAACTTACCAGGAACAATCTGCCGCAATGGTTTTCTTTTGCTACATACAAGTTAAAGTAACTACTAATGGTGTACCACTTAGAATGTTTTGTTACTGTTACGTCACAGAACCTGACCTGAAATATCTCTGTCACAGAAGACTGCTTCATAGTTAAAAGAAGTTAAACAATACACAAAAAATGATCATAACTACTAACCCATACCAACTCGCCAAGTTTTCTATCCTAAGACAGAAAACTGCGCCCATATGTAACAAGAAAGCTTCTGTCAAGCCAATTCTTCATGCTCCTCAATTCTGCCCTGAATAAATATAACCTACATCAAATACGCTATGAGACATGGCGGCTACGAAAGATTGCCAAAATGATAAAGTTAGCACGTTAATCGGTACTTACTTCCCCACATGCAAACACATGCCAACCCTATTCGACACTGCATAAGACTTCTAAAAAAAAAGTGGCGACAACACAAGTAGCACTGACACTATACAGCATATATCTAATTTTGAAAGTTGCACTTACTTTTTTCTCAACTGATCTGAGTCCACCTTTTTAACCATCTTATGAACAGGTGGACCGTCAGTACAGACATCCTTGTCTTCATCTCTGAAAAATTAAGGCACTGTATAAGATACTGCACATCAGGTCATCGACGATTCGTAATAGAGCTCTGCCTACGTGTTGTCATTATCGTCTTCGTCCTGCCAGGCAGGTTTCTTTCCGACTTGCAGCGGCGGCAATCCAACGCTCCCTTCATCGCTTTCCGCATCGCTCTCAGACGTTTTTCGTTTGGACGCCTTCCGCCGTTTCTGTTTCTTAAGCTGAGAAATAGTCCGGACGTGAATACACACGCGGTCAGTGAATCCTGGCTTCGTTTGCCACCTTTATGTTGTGCGACGAAGTACCATCTACTTTCAGGTCTGACGAGCATGCACCTAGGTAAGCATATGCAATACTAACTCGTATACTTCACATGGTAGAAATCATTGACTTTGTAAGAGCAACGACACACTACGAAACAAGTGGTCGCTACAATCAAGGCAGGAGCGAATTCCAACTCACGTGAGGCGACTCAACTGGTTCGCGACATGAGCCGAACACTAGTTTCTCTAATCTTTCCTCCTCAGAGTCCTTCCCAGCTTCTTCATCACTACTTTCTCCTTCATCTTCTAATATATCAACAGTCTTGGAAATGGGTTCGTCGTGTTGTCTTGTCGGCAGTAGCTTCGTTTCGACAGCTGTGCGCAACATAGCGTTACCTGAAAACGAAACGGTATTTATGCATAATTAGCGAGTTCGCACTACGCGGTGGAATGAACGCGAGGAGAGTGAAGTGAGTCTGGGCAGGCGGAACTCGACAAGTTACCTCAAAAGTTCGAAAGCATGGAAAACAGCGTGGTCGCTGGTTGCGATGGCAGCCGACGGACTAATGACAACTAATAAGTTGTCGATGGTGATCGTTAAATCACTTCAGCTTAAAACAAAATAAGATCATGCTACATCTCAAATGTAACACGTTTATTAAAATAATAAGTTTATAAGCCAAAATTTGCACTGCTTTAAGTTTTTTTTATCACGTTAAGGTACGACTTACTAAAGTGTTGTGTCAAGGCGTTGGTCTCAAATATGGTTGGTCTTTCGAAGTCAACCCTATCCAGTACACTAGCCGGTACAAAGTGGGAGGTGCAAGCATAATCTGTTTGCCTTGTGTGTATCCTCTTTTTCGTCTGCAAAACAAGAGGCCCACAACGCCGGTAAAGTTGTCAGAGTACCGTACAGCGTTCTGGGATAGCTAAAGTGCCGCTATGTTGTTCAAGTTCTGCGGTGATCGGGATTGTCCCGACTGGCTTCTCGCCGAAATAGGTTCGCTGTCGAAGATCAGCTCCGTGAAAGTCAAGTTGCTCTGCGCACAAGTTGTGAACGGTCTCCTGCATTCCAAGATAGACTTCGATAAAGTGGCCAAACTGACAGCAGACTCCAAGTTCACTGAGGACGACGTCAAGGGCGTGCTCATGGCCTTGGAATTCATTCTGAAGAACTCCACCAAGTTCTCCGTCGAGGAGGAGACGCTCGTGAACGAACTCACTCAGCTAGGTCTTCCTCGGGAGCACGCGGTCTCGCTGAGCAAAGTCTACGCGGATCGCTGTGCAGAGATACTAGCAGTGCTGAAAGAGCAAAGTCTCAGGCTCTCCTCGCTCGAAGGAGCGCCTCAGTGGCGCCTAGACTACGTGCTCGAGTCGAGCATTGCCGGCGAAGTGTGCCAACCGTCGGTTCAGATGAAACTCGCCGTGAGACAAGGAAACGAAGTCAAGCCTGTGCATTTCACCATGTCCGCCGAAAAGTGTGGCGTCATGCTTCACGAGCTAAAGCAACTGCACAAAGTGATGAAAAGTCTCGAAGAGTCTTAAAGCTTTGCGGCGTCTTGGAGAGAAAAGGGAGTGAACAGACGGGGAAGGAGGGAGTGTAGTGATAACACCAAGATGTAAATAAATAACGTTTATTGCGAGAATGTGTTTGCGTGATAGCTTCGACCTTTTGAAGATCACAACTGTTAACATAATTTGTAACATCATCTGTAACATTGAACATATAATACGAAATACGAAGCTGCGGAATTTCTCATCCGGCATAACAGAGTTGCTTCAAGTGGGAGGCACCTTAATCTTCTTCCACGAGTTCAGGATCCGTTCAACTTTTTCTTGAAATGCAGCAACCTGTGCAAAAAAAAAAAAAAGGACTATGGAATCAGTCTTAGCATGTGATACAGAAGTGCTCCAGACTGAAAAGTTTGCATTTTCACGGCTGTATTATTGGTTGTGTGCCACATATTTGAATCAGTTTGGTTTTTCGAACAGCTGCTGGCTCGAAATCTACGCGTTCAATCTCTGTCACTGTTAATGCATTTCGATAGAGGACCGTGCTTTGCGACATCAGTGCACACAAAGGAACTCCAGGCAGTCAAAACTGACCAAAGGCCTCCTTCTACAGTGTCTCTCATAGCCGGAGCTGCGATGCGACATTAAACCGACCAATTGAAAGATCAAATCGACTTCTGCATTCTTGTATGTACAGCACATACCAACAAAGTGCTTAAGTGGCTTTCACATTCCCATTTTGTTATGCACAAAGCTCCTTGCAATTTTCATTCCAATATTTTGTTCCACCAATTCATATACACACTGTTACGGTTAAAGGTAAACTACAAAAAAAATCATTTACCACTCAAAAACCAAGCTTCATGCAGTGAGCATGACAAGCTTCTTGGGTAAATTTTTACTTGAAGTACAATCAGATGCATAATTGCATGCTAGCCAGGAATAGACACCTTGAAGGAACTATATATCCTCTTCAGTGGCAGTTTGTACAGTAGTACACATCAACTTTGGAGGCACGTCATTCTCCACAAGTTTCTTCAAATGGCTTGAAATGCAGTCTGGGCATTCGTGCAGGCTTTCTAAGTGGACAACTAGCGATCATTTAACTTCACTGGGCTGCTTGCTGATGCAGAGAACCACAGTGCTGGAGACACTAGCATGTTCGACAATGGTTCGACGTGCCGCATTTCGGGACTTTAGTCTAGAGTAATTTTTTTCTTTGTTTGAAATTAATAAAACCAAAAAAGCAACTGTACATGCATTTTGGGTCTAATATGTGATTCTTTTTATGCAGGTACCGAAGCTGACTGATTGCAGCATAATTAGACTTTCATTACATGCTAATTTACATTAATTACTGAAACAAAACAACATAATTCTTCATTTCTTCGTCTTAAAATATAATAATAAGTGCCATGTAATCATGCCATAAAAATTTTACAGTGGTTCATAATTAGCACCTGAAGAGGATGCAACTATCATGTCCTGCAGAGCTAAATGTATATCACGTTGAAATTTTTGGATTCTGGGACTTGAGTTAAATCTTTAGACAATATGCACACATTATATGGCGAGATCAAATTCTGTTATATTTATAAAGAGTAAACATTTAGGAGTTTCGCTGCTTTGCTAAGATGGCATAAAAATACACACACATCAAGGGAATGTTTTTGTGCATTGTGGGGTTAGTAAGCATTAGAAATAATGAACGAATGTATGAAAACATTTACTTCAACATTTAAAGCCAAAGTCCAGCTGTAATCCTTGACGAACTGGAAGTAAGGAACATTTTTTGTATGTTTGTTTGCTATTTTGAATGCTTATGTACATAATATAATACACATCCCTTACTAGTACTACTTATCTGCTATTAATTTGGCCTAAGTCAAGAACGAGTAGGCACGTCTTGACGACGAAATAGAAACAAAACAGACGCAGCACTGTGCCTGTTATCTTTCTATGCTCTCATGAAGTCGCACTTTATTACTATACAACAGATGCTAACCAACTAGCCTGTCAATGTGTTTCAGCCAAAGAGAAATTTTGTTTCACTAGGCCAAACGAAGTGCTGCCATAACACAACAGTGCTTGGAGTAAAGCCGACTATAAAATCTGATGGACCACTTGAGTCCTAGCTAAAACCGTTTCAGCTGTGCCACTTAGCAACGCCACCCGCCTACAGAAGTGCTCACCCAGCAATGCATCGATTCGTTGTTCACTGGCATGTCCATTTTCCTACTGCCAAGCACACCGACTACATCATCAATTTTACAGAAAGCACTCGTCTGCATTGAAGCCATTACACTTCTTGATAGTTGACCCATCGTAATGACAATGTGCCTTGAGTGGAGTGTGCATAGGCAGGTATTAGAACAAGAAAATGGACAAACTACAAATTGTGAAAGTTATGTGTCTTAGGTGTAGCACAGCTGCTGATGACAGCAGACCTTCCGGAGAGGTCATGGAAAGACCGTTGGTCACGCGCTCTCAAGATCCATAATAGACTCATGCGGTAAAGTGCACAACACAGTGAAACAGATGGTGAGATCACTCTACTATGCTCGAGCCTTACTGAAGCAGAAGGGCCAGTTCCGGTTTGATCGCTGCTTGATTCGAGATTCCTTAGGAGGCACTCGCTATAAACAACCCAGCCTTTTTTTCCTGATGTTCCAGTCACAACCCAAATGCACCAGGGACGATGCTCCTTCAGTGGGTCCATTTCTTCCTAAAAACACCACAAGTATAGCACATGGATTTCATTACAAGTACAAGACTATCCAGACTGCAAGACCACAGTTGTATAAACCAAATGGCTGAAGCTGGCACAGCACAGGTGATGAGTATAAGAAACAAAACTTGTAAGGAACACAGACCACAAGCTGTGTGGTCTTGGCACTACAACTATTTACCAGAACCATGCATGTAATCTTTTGGTGTGAGTTCCATTTATATGGCAATACACTACAGATTATCAGTTCACCTGACACATAACGGCAACTCAATAGACATACACATGCACAACGAAGGCACCATAGGATAATGGCCAATGTACCACGTTTCCTTATGAATTGAAAAGAAAATAAATGATTATATTACATATAAGTCATGTACTTTTATTTCCCTAACATGTCTTTCAGAGTGGTTCTGGGTTCTTTTCGAAATATTGCCAAGAAAACACTGGACGGAGCTTTTGCATACATTGTCCGATTGCCCTGAGGACTGTTGACGTGCAAAGATGATTCAATTTACCAATGGCAAAGAGAATAATTTAAAACATCAGAAGACTTCTGCTTGTCTAATTCTAATAGTAGTCTGAGAGCTGCGACTGAACCACTTATTACAGAAGCTTCAAAGGGTTACCGACACAAAATTTCACAATCGAGACAGCCTGCGGGATCTATTCCCGTGAACATGCATATATCATCTGCAAAATATCAACAGTGAATATTTAACTTGGACGGTATTTTAAATGAATATTGAAGTTTGTATGCACGTTATTGACACCCTCAAAAGTGACGCCACAGTGACCCCTTACTTCCCTCACGTTACCACGCTTTAGCTGATGATACAACAAGTTATGACAATGTCATAACCGCCATTTCTATTTTACCGCATTTACTCCAGCAGACTACAAGTTGGCGGTTGCTTGAAAGTGTGGCCGATGTGCATGCATCGACAGTTTTGCGTTTTGCGACACTGCTGTCCCGTTTCATGATTTGAGTGCACGTTAAAGAACCCCAGGTCGTCGAAATTCCCGGAGCTCTTCACTACGGCATCTCTCATAATCATATGGTGATCTTGAAACGTTCAACGCCACATATCAATCAGAGCCGTTTCATGTTCAAAAGGACTTCTTGATGTGGACCATGCGGACGTGCGTCACAGTTCCGTGTGCTGATATGGTCGAGCACTGCACTCGCGAGGTGGCGATAGTTGCACCCGGCAGCTTGTCTTTCTTAGAACTCTCTCAAACCGAAACTGAGACTGGTCTGCAGTGAGGAGCTTGTAATTAATTATCTGTCACACGCAGCAGCAAACACGACTGATTGATAGATTGATATGTGGGGCTTAACGTCCCGAAACCACCTTATATTTACGAGAGACGCCGTAGTGGAAGGCTCCAGAAATTTCGACCTCCTGGGGTTCGCTAACGCGCACCCAAATCTGAGCACACGGGCCTACAGCATTTTCGCCTCCATAAAAAAGGCAGCCACCCCAGCCAGGATTCGATCCCTTGACCTGTGGGTCTGCAGCAGAGTACCTCAGCCACTAGACCACCGCAGCAGGGCAGCAAAGATGACTAGCAGGGCCCCAGCAACACGATGGAGAAAGAAAAAAGACGTGACGCCAAAATTTTTGTGTCAGTAACTTTTAAGTCGGTGTGAAACTATTTTAGCTCTGTGTGACTGAACTTCCCAACAGAATACATGAATGCAGGAGGAGGAAGGACAGGGAGGTTAGCCAACACAGTGATGTTCCATACTACGCCGAAGAATTCCCATTCAGAGACATGAAAATTCCGTATTTGGGAAATTTTTCCCTGCAAACGTTGAAAAAATTCCCAGCAAAATTTCTTGCACAATAGTACTAATTTCCGCCCAAGTCCACGCACATACACACTACAATTACTTTTGAAATCGCGACTAGCCTCTCCACTGTCACACAACAGAAGCATGATTTTATAAATTCATACACTGTTAGTACACTGCACATTGTTGGCTTCAAGTCTAACCCCACTAGTGAGCTAGATATCGCTCTGCGTAGATATCAGAAACAAATCTTGAAGGATATGCTTGCGTTGTGCATGTGTCAGAAGTTAGAACCGATTACAGCAGATGAAGGCACACTGTGACCGCTAATTATCGGCCGTCAGAGGAGAATTTGATCATTCCTGAAATTCCCTGCAAAAATCACGAAGATTCCCCTTTTCCCTTTATCTCAGAATGACAGGTGAAAATTCCCCAAAAAAGGAAAACTTCTCTGCACAGAACATAACAATAACATCAGCCTAGCAAAAATAAGACATGGCGTACCACAGGGTAGCATACTCGGCTCACTTTTGTTTATTATTTTTATAAATCATATCACAAGGATAAACACATCAATAGAGTATGTTATTTATGTAGATAATACGAGTTTGTTTTTTTCTGGAATGGACATTGATAATATCATATCATTGGCAAGTGATACATTAGGCAAACTTTACACTTGGAGAGTAAAAAACTTCTTACGTATAAACTGTTCCAAAACTAAAGCTGTTATCTTCAGAGTGAAATCTACACCATGTCCTATACTTAATTCATTGTAATTAAATAATATGAAAATAGAATTCTCCCCCTATGCAAAGACGCTAGGATTTGTGTTTCACAAACATATGTATTGGGAGCATCACACCGATTACATAAGGAGCAAACTTTGTAGAGTAGTGAGAATTCTTAGAAAATGTCAACGCATATTACCAGAACAGCAAAAACTTATAGTATATCATGCCCTATTTACTCCCCACTTACGCTATTGTGATTTAGTTTGGGGAACCAGGACAAAAAATCATTACATAACATGATCATATCACAAAAGAATGCAATACGTGCCACCTCAAGCATTTCCTACTATACACATACGTCTGATTCTTTCATAAGATTGAAGATCTTAAAAAGTGAATTTCTCTATGAATACTGTCTCTTAACATTCAGATCAGAACTAATCTGTAAAACCCACCACATACATAAACTAGCCAATTTAACTGTAAATTCTTCCACACGTTCAACGAGACACACTGCCAACTGGTACATTCCACGGCTTCGTACAAACTATGGGTCACCGCTACTACAATTTTGTCTACATACTGTACTAAATAAGTTCAAATTAGCAAGCGATACTCTACGTGTAATGTCTAAAAATTCTATTTTAAGTATGGTTTCATTAAATGTTTAGTTTTTCAATAAAAAATGCTTCTCGGGTGTTTGTAGTGATTTTCGCAGTGCGAGTTCAAATGTTTTGCCTTAAGTAAACCTGTCTCTGTACTGCACGTTGCTACCATTGTGTCGGGGTGGCGGGGCTTGTCAAGCTGCAGATATTGCAGCTTTTACCCTGATATCCTCACCATGTTATGAGACTTTCTACTCTTTTCTATTCGACCTTTGTTCAAACTGTATATATTATTATGTATCGAATATGGTGAAATAGCCAAATCTCAAAATCTCACAGCATAAACGCAATAATCCAATGGGAGCATGATGACAACAATGACAGTGCCGTCACTGGCAACCTTGGGGGCATGACAAGCCAAGCACTGTCCCAGTAATGTGTCCCAATTTTATGGTCAGCGAAACATGTGGCTCACAGCTGTGCATTGTAAGCTACATTTATAACATAATGGAATGGGCAGAAAGATAAAACAAGCCTCGTTTCAAAATATTAACTGCAGCTGCAGTAAAATAGAATGGTAATTCTTTAAAGTCAAGGGGTATCACATGCTAAGCCTGCAATCTGATTAGAATCGATGCATTCCGGATCAATTTCAATGTCTCAACATTCGTCAGCCTCAATTTAAGCGTACAAAGATGTTTGCATTTAATGCCTATTAAAATAAGACCATGAAACGCATAGTTCTATATATCTGTGAGTGTGAGAGCTTATAAGGTTAAATGTGTGGCGTCACACTTTGTGGTGGCGGGTAATAATGGGGGGAATGTAGATTCTACAGTATACTTGTTAAATGAAACAAGACCAGAAAAAACATTTTCCGTTAATTGGGAGAGGAAGAAGGACGTGAAATTCAGAAACTAAATCAATTGCATTAAAAGCAGTTGTTCCATTCAAGCAGTAGTTCCATTAGAGATTTTCCGATTACGGAGAGTTTACTGCGATGAGAAGTCAGCCAAACCCAAACCGTGCCGAGCAGGTCGTTACCTCCTCGTGTTTCCTTTTGACACCATGTCCATCGCCGTTTTCTTGCTTGCAACCAGTGTCCTCTGAGACGAGCTCCTTGGGAGATGCGTAGAGCCAGGTTCCAACCTTCCTACAGCAAAACTCGCAGCTGAGTTGCTTCAGTTTTTCAGTTGGATTGCTGAGGCCAGGAGGGAAGACAATATAAGTGATCATTTCAAATCTCTGGATAAATGCAAAGAGCTGATGTATAAAGTTGAATTCAAGACTGGAAGCATGTGTTCGCATGAGAGTTATGACAAGACTTCATTAAAGAGGCGGTAAGAGCAATCACTAAGTCCCTATTTCATGTTCCAAGGCCTCCAAAGCATCACTTTCACCGTGTCTAGAGTCTCTGCAACTAACTCAGATGAAGCATACAGTCAGTGCCTCACATACATATTACACTATTGCCATACTGATAGTGGCACCAGTCATTGTTCAAGTGAAGCTGAGGTACAAGTTGCTGAACTGTATCCCTCTTCTTACACATTGCTTACTAATTTCATTACCCACGGCACCAATGGGCATTACAGTTTGGAAGAGAATACAAAAAAGGACGAAGAAGGAAGATACATTGTCAGTCAAACGACTCACTAATAAAAAAGTACCAATTACAGTAATCACAATCAGTAGTACAAATACATATCATAATAAAAAAACTAAAACACAGTCATTCCAACAAAGAAAAGAACAATAATTAGAGATAATAGAGGCAGTGCTTGAAGGCAATCGGTTTCATTCTCGGATAGTTTTTGGAAAAAAAGAAAATGACATAAAACAGTCTTGAATGTAGTTTAATCGCAACCAATGTGTTTACATTTTTCAAGTCCCATTACAAGTAAACTGTACTAGCATTCGCTGTTTGCGACGAGGGGGAGGATTACACCACCGCTAGTTGGCCATAGTACCTCATGGAGAAGTAAACTTTGTATGAGAAATGCTTATAAAGAAGATCTAAAGTCAACTGTCAGAAACAAAAAGAAATTATGATACTTCACCACTTTTTGCAATAACTGAGATAATTTTAATACTCTACTAGTAGTGCTTGCAAATGTAATATACATACTAAACACAGCACCAGAATAATTGGCTACGCACTAGCAAATAATAGGTAATGAGATAAGTGCTACAGCAGCAATGAGTGTTGGTCCAATATATCAAGCTGTGTTTATCTGAATAGCTAACTTGCCAATTTTTTCTAATACAGTGTATAACAGGATGCTGCTTCTAAAAATTTGCAGGTGATATGGTCAAAAAGCCACACGTATGGTCTCATCGATAAGCAAAATTAATTAAATAGTTATACCAATACACATGTTACTGCCCAAAAATAAGTTTAGACAAGTGCTTAATCTAGTGAAAAAAAAAAAAACTGCCTGAATGAAGAAGAAATACTTAGATGAGCTCGCATGCCAATATCCAGCTCTCCTAATCTAAATTATAGACCTTTCACACTTTAGTAGATATCCTGGTATTTTACCAGACTTGCCAAAATAGTTATGAAGATATTACAAAAAGATTGTTTGTGAGTTTATCTCATATGACATGATTAAAAAGCTTTCTGGCATCATTTGATAAAAATGTACACACCACCTTAAGGCATAGAAGAGACCACTAGACAAGATTTTTGTGGGCCAAGTCAAAAGGCAAAAGCCCCTTGCGTCAGCATGAGCAGTACACCCAGCAGATGGGCAACCAAAAAATTGTAAGCTTGAAGTCTAAAAACTATGGTTTGTCACTCTCCGAACGTTCATGCATTTCACCCCCCCCCCCCCCATTTTTTTTCACTCAGTAAACACTCAATTCCCTTCTTCGCTTTAGCCACTAGACCAGCAACATGTAATAAGACTAAAAAAAAGAACGTTTTGCATATGTGTACAAGTGAGTTTCTATGCAAAAAAAAAAGAGCGCCATCAGCAAAGGGCCAGCAGAAAAGCATAATCAGCAAGAGCAAGCTGAAAACCTGTCAAATATTATAAAGCGCCTCTTACGCTGTCTTCCAGCCAGTCAGTGCAAGCAAGATGGCTCGTTCGCTTTCGACTGTTCGCTCTTCACCAGCCAACTTGCATATCTTTGCTATTGCTTCATTACCAAGCTGTAAGTAAATAAACAATAAAAAAATTAGGACTCTATTTTAACACTGTAAAACACATCTGTTCTCTCTCCAGCGTCTGTGGAGAGACGACACACTTTAATGTGAAGCATTCTGTGGCGCAGTCCAAGCATGTAATGGTTGGCAGGCTTCTGCTTTGCCTTGTTTCAGGCACTTTGAGCAAAACAAGAATTGGTGTGAGTAAAGTTGTGACCACATGTACAACTCCAAACACAACAGCCCCGTGCTCTTAACAGTCATTGCCGCATGCGCATTTTTGTCTTGCCGAGGCTAATAAACTTTTAAAGGCGACTAGCATGTGCACCGCATGGTGGCAAGATCAAAGGGACCGCCAACTGATTTCCTTTGACCCAGTTTTTTCCAGCAAGACAGAAAGGCTTCCCTTCGTAGTGTTCATAACTGCAGTAGCTAATCTCAAAAGCACGTGGTCATTTTATAAGCAGTATTTTTTTATCTGAAAGGCTCTGTACACGGATGTGTACAGAGCCCTCTCATCCAGCAATGCTGAGAATGCCCTTCCTATGCATTATAAAAATCACTGTGCTGATTTCCTCATATCTTGCATTAGTGAGAGAAAATACTTTAAAACATTGTGTCGCTCTGTACGCGGATGTGCCCTTTCATCCAGCAACGCTGAGAATGTCCTTCCTATGCATTATAAAAATCACTGTGCTGATTTCCTCATATCTTGCATTAGTGGGAGAAAACACTTTAAAACATTGTGTCAGTGTGAACTACCTTCAGGATAAAACAACTTTCCTCAGTGTTTCCTTCATAGCAGATAGTGCAATGAAGATGCTTTGCAACACTGACCTGCCTTCATGTTCAGTTCAATTCGTAATAGAACTTGTAAAGTTTTTTCGTTGAAGTAAAAGGCTCACTATAAACACACAATTGCTTATTTTGAGCGAACACATTGGTTTATTTGCACACTGAAAAACCCTAAACAATGATGGATGGTCCGCCACCTATGCGTTGCTTTGCATAATATTATTGAATTTCAAAGTGCCTGGGATCTATGTAACATTTTTCCCTGTGAAAAACTAATGGTGATGAGAAGCCTATTAGCCACAAACTGCACATTCAGGCACATACCAGTACACATACCTGCTTCTGAAGCTGCTCAGTGCTGAGCAAAGGGAGCGAGGAGAAGATGGGGACTAGTGTACCAAGTCTCTCGCGCAACTGGTCAAGGGCTTCATGACGCATCACTGGCTCCATGACAGCATAGGACTCTGTAGCAGACAATTGGTACATTTGTTATGCCGTTTTCACATGGGCACTTTTAATCGCGATCAGGGCTATCCGGATCAGCTTTCAGAATCACAATCCACTTTATGGTCACTCCTACACGGCCTAAGGTAATTAGTCCGAGCTTGGGTCAGTTGAAATGCACCAGCAGGCACGTGCGTGCCCTAAAACGCGTCATTGACAAAATTCAGCGTCTGATATTTCTGTAGAGCCCACGGTGTAGGAAGGAGAGGTGACTCAACGCGGCGGGCGAGCGGGGCGAAACTTCTTTAAACATGTTTTTAAAGTTATTCATGTATAATAAGCTTGATTGCACATATACATGTTAATTGCACTGTTTTACAGAAAAATATACCCAACAAGAAACGTTGAGGAAATCACACACATTCAAACACCAAGCCAAATATTCTGTATAGGACGCTTGTGCAGTCGCAAGTTTTGACAGTTTGAGCTTGTGTGTCTTTTTTCCTTTTCTTTTCTCTGCTCTTACAATACTGCCTCATCCGAAGGCCCACATAATAATGCAAGATTTTAGCAATTACTTCATCTCTGTGGGTGATGCAAGGAAATGAGAGCCAGTTGTTATCTAATATATGATCAATGGTGAGCTTGCAAGCATTCCTTTGCGTGTAATTTCTTTGGAACTCTACTTTTGCTCATGTCTTGATTAATGTCAAGCAGTTTCTACGGCACTATGTGGCTTGTGTCAGCAGCGCACTGTAGTTCTCGAACGTGCCACAATTCCGAGAACACAATTGCGAAGCTCGTGAACCTGCAGTCGGTGAAAATCCCAAGTTGTGGACGGAAGCTCAACGCATGCTGGGCTTCTAAACAGTTCATTGAAAGTTGACAGCGCTGCGAGGGGTGCCAAGGTACAATTATGCAAGAGCATGTCCGAACCAGTAGCACCACTTTCGGGGGGATCCGCAAGAAAGCATTGAGAAAGCGAGCCACCGAGTCTCTCGGCTGGCCTCTTGCGTTGTTTTTTCTCTTTCGAGAGATAGCTTGAGCAGTCCGGGAAAATACTGGGCACTGCATCTTTGGAGAGGGACGCTTTCCGGGGTGCTCTACACAAAACATTGCCGTTGTAGACCTTTTCCCAGGTTTTGCTCACCAAATGAGGCTCGAAGTGCCGTTCGCAGAGGTGGTCTGTTGACTGTAGGATTTGATCCTTGCGTGGAATGGCATTCCTCCACACCCGAAGACGTTCTTCATCTCTCGGCGCAGAAAACAGCGAAAGTTTCTCGGTACAGGACTTGTACCTTGCGTTGCAGCGTGGGGCGAAACACTTCTTCCCCATCGCTTTTACATGGCCGCACGCATGTCGTATAAGCTCACAGGGTTAACCAAAACTTTAAAAGATTGCGGATAATTTACAAAAAACAGAAACGTTCGATATGAAAGATGGCCTCGTGTCGGAGCGAACTGAAGTGGCCGCTATCAATTCGCGACTCGCATGGCCCCGGTACTTCTAGCGTCCTCTAGTAGGGAGAAGGCGACCCCGAACAAGTTTTTCATGGAGCTGCTCTGCTGCGCTTCCAAGGCGATCAGTCACCTCCCCTTCCTACACCGTGGTAGAGCCCTTTATCAGCAATGTTATTGGTGCAAGAACTGCTCAAACATCAAAACTTTGCATGCCAATAAAAAACAATTTCATTAATATATCACTCGATGGAGTTTTCCTAGCTGTTACCTTCACTGCTGCGTGAGGTTGTCTCCATTTTTATATCTAATGGCAACCGCTCGAAGCCATCTACTCGCAGCGAAGCGGGTATATCATTGTACAGGCGTTATGTCATTTGGCTCCTCAGGTCTCCCGGTCGCTCGTACTAGCGATAAATTACTGTAAAGGTCTCTTCATTCGACCACGAAGTGTGCTTACGCTGCGACGTAGTCAAAAAGCTAAAGAAACTCATAATCAGTTTGCTTTGAGGTGCTCGAACTGCTTCGACAGTGCAAGAGTTGAATTAAGCATCGAAGACAATGGTCATCTGGTTACTGTCTGCTTCTCCCATAAATACATGCGGTCGATATGAATCTCAAAACATGCAATATTTCAAATATTGTTCCAATTTAGACAGCTTACAATTTGATTGTATATAAAAATTTACCCCTTTTAATCTGCTTTTACTTAACTACGCACAATTTTCTTGTTTATTGTGCCTTCAAGAAGCTCGGCCAGGGAGTGCAGACGACAGCGAAATCATGATCTCCGAGCCAGATCGCGTTAGCCTTAATCCCGATCGGGCCTGATCGTGATGAAAAGTGACCATGTAGCAGCCCCTAATCCGGATCGTAGTTCATCCGCATTGGCACTGATTGGGATTAAAAATGCCTGCGTGACAGCGGTATTAGAACCATAGTGATGGGAAAAAGAGATTACAACTTTGCACTCACCCGGACAAGGTGCAGTCTTCCAAGGGCAACAGCTTTTATGAGCATCTTTCAGAGATGAAACCAGCTTTTCTGTACATTCCTTATCTGCAATACAATGATTAACTGTTTTTATGTTGATGCATGATGGACCCTATAGGGGAAAATTCAGAGAAGTTATCAGTATTGTAGATAACATAACTAAAGTAACATGTTGTTTATATTCACCCCAAGAGGACATATAATGATAAAAAATTTGCCCTTAGGGTAATTGTAAAACTCTCTATCATTACCTGGATATCAGAAGTATGCAATCCTAGTCTACTTAAATGTTAAATGTTGTCAGTGTATGCATGGAAATATGCCTAGAAATGTGTTGCTAATAGTGAGATAATCAATGGCAGTTTTCCTTCAACAAGAGAGATTTAAGGGCACATTTGGAAACGGAAGGAAAGCTGCTACATACAATAAGAGAGTTTTGGCATGTCCCATATTTTAGTATATGCAATGGTGCTTGCATAAAAATTCTCACTCTATGTCACCATATGCTGTCACCAACATTTTGCATGTTTTGTTTCACCACAATTGTAGGCACACTTTTTTGTGTGTGTTCTAAGAGTGTACCCGACAGAAAAAACAACAACAAAAGATTCTGCATGCTACGTATTTACAATTAAACCACTGCCTACGTTTCACACCAGCAGCAAAGCGTAATATATTTAGTTACTACATTAATACCTTTATGCTTGTGCAGCCAAGCTCTAAGCTGCCACTCTGGCCACTCATGTTTATGCCTTCAGTAACTTGACATTCTACAGATTGTAAGAATAATCCTGGTTCAAACTACTTGGTGTTGGTTCATAACTGAGGGAACTTTTCAGCACAAATTGAACAAAGACACAACTGTCCTGTTGTGTCCTCACTCAAGTTGAACGGGAAATTTTCTTCAGTTACGGTAAAAAGGTTGAAAAAAAAAAATTTAATTCTTTAGTAGCACAAAATAATTAGTCCAATCATTCACTTCGCTTTGCTCAGACATTGTGAATGAATGGCCGACCAATGTGAACATTGTGAAGGCTCTCTAAAAAGGAATGAAGAGATGCTAAGACCATCTGCGTCGAGAGGCTGGGGCTGTATACCTCGTTGATCCGTTTAGAAAATTTTTTTGGTTTTACGCTCAACGCATTCACTGAGGTACATAATTCTCGTGACAAGCTTTACCTAAACGTGCACAATAACCATGCAGCACAAAAATAATGCTTACTCTTTCACCAAGTTGACTTGTGTCCATTTTTATATATCCGAATGCGTGCAAATAACATCCCCGACGTGACTGACCAATAACACTAGAACGAAGGCACTCCTCAGTTAACCAGTGCACTGGAACACGTGAATTCAAGGGTAGCACAAGTTTGGAGGCAGATGCCAGCTGTTTTTTAGCATCACGAAGGGATAAAATTTCTGAAGACAGGGTGTCGCTTGAGCCAATGTTTAGTCTTCTTCAAGACTGCAACAAGGTTGTTGCCTTTACAACGGCTCGTCCGCTTGTTGAAACACCATCTCTAGCGACACTCCACGTTCAAAAATTTTTCACTTCTTCAAGTTTCCATCTTCTCCTGAACTTGTGCCTTTTTTAGCAACACAAACCATCACAAGGAACAAATTTGAGGTACGTACACAGCTTGTGGCCCAAACGGAGATTGAGTTGGCAATCGAGATGCGACTTGCACGAGACGCAACAGAGCATGTCGTCACCGACACACTTCCAACCAAACCGAGCACACACCGATGGCGAAAGTTCTGGTGGCTTACAGGACCATTTGGATTGCTAATTCAGTCAAGGTAAATATATAAGCAGTCACAATTGCATGACACACAAACATACTCTTATCTAACACTTCTGTATCATTTCAAGAATGGTTAGGGCTGTTACACTACAGTGCAGTAATCACACAACTGTCGCGTGTTATTTAGAAGTGAAAACTGAAAATCTTAACTCAACCATATGGCAATGGCTGTTCATGAACTTTGGAATGCATTGCACGGGGAGCCTGTAGTCCGACGCACAAAACACTTTCAGATATGTTTGTAAATTTGGGTACACATGGCCGGTAGTAGATGCTACTTCTAAATTTGCTTCAGCATGCACAGTTCCTTATTCCTCTCGGAAATATGTCATTTTTGTGGTGATCATTAAGTACAAAAAAATGACAACGTGTTAGAAGCTTAGTTGGATACCTTTTAACGCTACGAACGCACGAAAGTTTACGCTACGAACGCAAAGGATACAGATCCGTACTCGTCAATGAAAGTTTGGATGCGCGTCTTGTAATTTTCGTATTCTTCTCTGCACATTGGCAGTTCATACCCCAATGACTCTATGCTCGGTAAAAATTTTGCTGCAGACATCATTCACAACAGGCACTGCTGTACACAAGAGAACGTCGCAGCAGACAGCAACTACCAGAGAACACCTGCTAATGCTGCTTTAGTGAGGCTTTCATTTCAAAACGCCGGCATGTTTACCACGAACCCGTTACTTGTTCAAGCCTCCGCATTGCCCTTACTTTCTTCGGTTGCAGGTGGCGCTACTCTAAAAAATAATATATTGTATAGTTTTGTAAACTTTTTGTAAATTATTTTACTGCAGCAATAAAATTAATTTGTAAATAAAAAAAATTAAAAACAAGAACTTTTACGCGACATCAACCCAGTTTGGTTCTCGCTGCCTTGTCTGAGGCCTGTAGAAACGCCGCACTGTCCAAAGCATTGTCCAAGGCGTGTGAAAATCAGGTAAACCATCCGGTTATTGCTATTTTTTTCCCGTTTTTGAATGTTTCGTTCAGTCACACTGACACATTTCTATGTTTCAGCTACCTAGCTCTACGAAAGTAACACGAAAGTAACGAGTGAACAGAAGGAGTCTGCACGTGTCTTCACCGAAAACAACGGTTGAGACGCATCTTTTCAAGACATTGTTTTGGCAAGCACACCAGTGCAACTGTAAGCTGCTTTATTTTATAATGGTTTTGTAATGAGCTGTTTACAAAACTGAAACTGTACGTAACATAAAAAAAACCGAAATAGAACTTGCAGTTTGACGATAGTTATAGCGCGAGAACAGAACGACGACACAGAGACAAGAATGACACGAAGGACTTAATTGTCTTTGTGTCGTCGTTCTGTTCTGTCATACCAGCTAGCCCAAGCCGCCACACTTCTAAGTGCACTTTGAGTTTCTCATGAGCAGCGTACCTCGCACGAATGTACAAGCGACAAAGTGAAGGTTTGGATAAGGTACGCGCTATGGGCCTGCTTGGCCTCATAAAAGATCCAAGTGAGGGTTTGACATTGTCAGGGGTCTTCTCAAACTCGCCTCATCTAGCCGGCAGGCGCAGCGCCAGGATTTTTTCACTGCGGGGTAGAAGGGGGGGGGGGGGCTAATGTATTCTTGTTGGATTCGGGGAAGGGGCATAGGGTTGGCAGGCGAAAATTCTAGGAAGGGGTGCTTCAGGCTTTTCGTACTCCCCCAACCGGCCCGGAAAATTCATCGCTAGTTTCGGTTTCAAGGAACATGCACGCTCGTAGCGGTTGCCAGGCATCCTAAGATTCATTTAGACGGAATAAAGTTTATGTGAATGTTCGCATTTATTGGCTTTCAAAAGTTTTTACGTATAAAAAAATTAATATCGTTGTAAAGAACTTCTATTTTTGTTATATTTCTTTTCTCAATCTTTATTTTGTGAATCAGGCAAAGCGCGGGAAGCGATTGATTTGTGTTCGTGTGTCTTGCAACCGCTCCTTTTCGCCCCTCACTCAGCGATATTAGAAGTTGGATCGCGCTCAATTGTCTCGCTTGGTTGGTGTGTCAACTACGGAAAAGATAAAGACAGCAAGTTGTGGCGGCCAGAGAACGAAAGCCGCAGTGAGCTACGCCGAACAAGTCAACCATACATTCGTCGAAGATGACTTAATCGGGCATCAAACGTTTTCGCGGCTCTGCGGTGTGCTGATCCGCAGATTTCTAGTTCCGCGAAGGTTTTTGCAGAATTTCCTCAAGGCGACAGGTGGTGAACACAAGAATTCGGACCCATTATTTGAGCAGGTATTGATTTTGCATTAGTACATATGAGCAAACCAGTTCTCTGCAAGCCTGACGACAGGACTGACATAAGTGCAGTGCCGGGCTCCTGTCGGGAAAATGCCTTCATTGAAAGGCTTGAATTCGAGTTGGCTCTGTTACATAGTATTACTTTCTGTTACTTTCGTGTGTAGTTCAAATGATGTCAAGTAATTATAGGCTGCTTCCCGTTCATGAAATTCTTGTAGCGGCATTTTGAACATTGTTTAGTGTTAACTTCTAATAGCGTCACTCAAGTACACGTGATAGACTAAATACTTTTAAAATTAATACAGAGAATGCCGAGGCAGTCAACCTTTTCACAAGTGAACTTTTTTTCGTCGAGTCAACGCTGTTGCCGTGACGAAGACGAGTCAAATTGCCGAAACACTGTTTCCAGCGACGTTCTTTCTCGAAAAAGCTTCTGATCGCCTTAAGCCTCATCTGTGCCTCGGAACTTCAGTCTCGTTCGGAACTCAAGTTCTGTGAGAAAACTATGCGCGCCGTCATAACAAACGTGGTTGAATCATATACGACGTGTCCTACTTGCGATTGTTGATAGTTTTCGTTCGCATTGGCTCGGATCTTCTGAGTTCAACATTCAACGTTTGCTCATTATGTCCGTGTCCCAGTTGTAAGTTAATGACACTTTCACACTACTTGTATGTCTGTTTTTTTTAATACAAAATGTGCAAGAAAAAGTTCATTTTATTTTTGCCGACCGAGTTTCGTCTTACAGAGAAAATAAGTCACCTTAACTGTTGCCTCTTCAGAAAACACGAACAAAATTGAAAAAGAAAAGAATAGCAAAATGGCCGCATCGGCCAAGCGGCCAGCAGATTTTAAAGAAGGCACGAGCGCATTCCGCTTGCATGTGAAGTGGGAAAGGGAGGATTCGGCGGCAACCCCCCTCCTCTCAATTTTTCATCATTTCCCTCCATTTCAGCAAGACACCAGTGTCGTCATGAAATGAATTTTGTGTTCATGATTTATTTCTAGTAAGATGCCCGCCAACCGCCACTGGTAAAAGAAAGCGGCGCTGCCGAAGAAGCCGAGAGCAAATACATGGAAGGTCCCCCTGGTTAATTAGAACATAAAGGGGGGGGGGAGTAGTATGAACGAACAAAATGTCACTTAACATTGCCATTTGAAATGACGCCTGTCCCTTATCGATTTTCTGACAGAGTCGGCGTCAGGTTTTGAAAAATATTGTTACGGGGAAGATTTATTCACCGAGAGCTGGTCTTGCTAACGGCTTAGAGAGTGCACAGTCAAGCAGGCCAACGGGAGAAGCTCGAGAGTCCAACCCACTACCACTACGTTGTCGTCTTCTTCATTTGGGTGCCAATTCAGCTGTGTCGGGGCGACAGTTCCATACACGTATCATCACCCCGGCCCGTAAGGCTCCGTCTCGGTGCCTGTTAAATGAGCGAGTCGGCGTTGTAGGGCTTGAGACGAGAAACGTGGACAACTTCCGTCCTGGGTGCAGCAGCTGATAAGTTTGTGGTAGCGGCAATCTCGTAGGTCACAGGTGTTACCTGGCAAATGACTCGGTAGGGCCCAGCGTATTGCGATAGTAGTTTCTCGCAGAGGCCAACACGTCGAGATGGGAGCCACAGTAGAACAAGAGATCCCGCAGAAAAAACGGCATCTCTATGTCGACGGTCATAAAGAGACTTCTGTGCTGTCTGCGACGACGATAACCGAGCACGCGCTACCGCACGTGCCGTGAGGGCACGGGTGATTGCATCCTGAGCGTACGAGGTGGAGTATGGGTGGTCTGATGAAAGCAGTGTGTCGAAGGGCAGTAAGGGATGACGTTTGAAGAGTAGATAAAAAGGAGAGTAGCCTGCTGTTTCATGACGCGACGAGTTATAGGCGAAGGTTACGAACGGCAGAGCTATGTCCCAATCAGTGTGGTCGGTAGATACGTACATGGAAAGCATGTCCGTCAATGTGTGGTTTAGTCGCTCCGTAAGGCCGTTAGTCTGAGGGTGGTAAGATGTGGTGAAGTTGTGACAGGTAGCACAAGATCGGAGTAGATCATCAACCACACGAGATAGAAAGTAGCGACCACGGTCTGTGAGCAGGTGAGTCGGAGCGCCATGCTGGAGAATAATGTCGTACAGCAGGAAGTCGGCAAAGTCGGTTGCGCAGCTGGTTGGTAGCGCTCGAGTGATTGCATACCGAGTGGCATAGTCTGTGGCCACTGCAATCCATTTATTTCCAGTTGTAGAAGTAGGAAAGGGGCCTAGCAAGTCCAACCCCACTCGATGAAATGGCTCGGCTGGAACTTCTATAGGTTGAGGTAGACCGGCAGGGGGAGTCGTAGGCTTCTTTCGGCGCTGGCAGAGGTCACAAGATGTGACGTAACGGCGAACAGAGCGGTACAGACCCTTCCAGAATACTCGTCGTCGAATGTGGTCGTAAGTTCTGGAGACTCCTAGATGTCCAGAAGTTGGAGCGTCGTGGAATTGTCGCAGAACATCCTTTCGCAGGTGATGCGGTACGACGAGTAAAAGTTCCGCGCCGTCGGGGTGTAAGTTGCGGCGGTACAAAACGTTGTCTTGAAGCAGGTATCTGCTAAGAGAAGGGTCAGCATAACGCGATTGAAGGCGGTCAATGATGGTGAGCAGCGATGGATCTCGGCGCTGTTCGTCAGCCACGTGCAGAAAGTCAATGATGGCTAAAACGCAGGCATCGGATTCCAAATCAGTGGAGCTAGGTGGATCAACAGGGTGCCGGGATAAGCAGTCAGCATCGCTGTGCAGCTTTCCAGATTTGTAAACAACCGAGAAAGTGTACTCCTGTAATCGAAGTGCCCATCGGTCGAGTCTTCCTGTAGGGTCCTTAAGCGTCGACAGCCAGCAAAGCGCATGATGGTCCTTGATGACTGCGAACGGACGTCCGTATAAGTACGGACGGAATTTCGCAATAGCCTAAACGAGGGCTAAGCATTTCCGCTCAGTGATGGAATAATTTTGTTCCGCTTGCGACAAAAGGCGGCTAGCGTAGGCTATCACACGGTTGGTGCCATTCTGTATCTGGGCCAGTATAGCACCAATGCCATGGCCGCTTGCATCGGTGCGAAGCTCTGTTCGAGCCGCTGGATCAAAATGAGCCAACACAGGTGGTGATGTGAGGGCGGTAATTAGCGACGCGAAGGAATGTTCTTGGTCCCTTCCCCAAGAAAAGGCCACATTCTTTTTGAGGAGATCCGTGAGGGGCCTAGCAATATCCGCGAAATTGAAGACAAAGCGGCGGAAGTATGAGCAGAGCCCAATAAAACTGCGAACTTCTTGTGCGGAACGCGGAACCGGGAATTCTCGGACTGCACGGACTTTGTCAGGGTCGGGTTGAACACCAGTGGCGTCAACAAGGTGGCCGAGTTGTTTAATCTG